TCGTATATTATACAAAAGTTTACGTCTTTTATTTATCGATTGAGGCACTACGAAGTCTGCCGGGTCAGCTACTTTATAATAAACCTATTTATTATTCCATTAGACAAAGGCATATATCGGTTGATCACAAGACATAATTCCCTTTTCCACTCCTAAACATGAGTACATTAGTAATTAGATAGAGAAATTCTTTTTTTATTTTATTTAATTAAAACCATCTCAGACGAAATAACGCTTTCGAAAATATAAACGTTAAATCGTAAGCACAATTTTGTGCTTAAATCCCGCATGTTGTTCTTTAAATATCAAATACTTTGTTGTTAGAGTCTACAAAGATAGATACAGACATCTCGGATATTCAAAGGGAATGTATCAAAGATATTATAAGCTTTCCGAACGTTAAACACGCTTGCTTTAGGGTATCATCGCTTTATCGTTCTACGCTTAAGTAAGAGCTTTTGTGCTCAACGTTTGGATCAGCTCACGATTCACATAGCGTTAACCGGCTACCGGAGCAGGATTTTTTTTTAATTTTTTTTTTATTGCTTACATGGATGGACGAGCTCACAGCCCACCTGATGTTAAGTGGTTACTGGAGCCCATAGACATCTACAACGTAAATGCGCCACCCACCTCGAGATATAAGTTCTAAGGTCTCAGTATAGTTACAACGGCTACCCCACCCTTCGAACCGAAACGCATTACTGCTTCACGGCGGAAATAGGCGGGGTGGTGGTACCTACCCGTGCGGGCTCCCNTAAGTGGTTACTGGAGCCCATAGACATCTACAACGTAAATGCGCCACCCACCTCGAGATATAAGTTCTAAGGTCTCAGTATAGTTACAACGGCTACCCCACCCTTCGAACCGAAACGCATTACTGCTTCACGGCGGAAATAGGCGGGGTGGTGGTACCTACCCGTGCGGGCTCCCAAGAGGTCCTACCACCAGTGATTACGCAAATTATAATTTTGCGGGTTTGATTTTTATTACACGATGTTATTCCTTCACCGTGGAAGTAAATCGTGAACATTTATTGAGTACGTATTTCATTAGAAAAATTGGTACCCGCCTGCGGGATTCGAACACCGGTGCATCGCTTCATACGAATGCACCGGACGTCTTATCCTTTAGGCCACGACGACTTCATAACACCCATCACAAAGCGATGCTAAGTACCACAATACCACCTATTTATACCCCGAATTAGATATACGTTCCGATTTAAAAAGGTTTGAGTCAGCCATTGTACTATATTGAGATTTAGACCTCATTTCTCAAGACGTGATTAGCTTTGTTTATGCTATCCGATAACTTAAGCGTCGGTGGTAGCCCGTGAAATCGTTCATACGACTATACAATATAAATGACCCAAAAAATATTCATGGTTTGAGGCCTTTTGACAGATTCCCTATCAAGTGAAAAGGATGACATAGTACTACAGTAGATTGAAGGGAATCGGGACTCTTTCCAATTCAAATTCCAACACAAATTTTCAGCGGTTTTTCTTAGGGTAATACCAATAAAATTGAGATTAAAATGGTTCCGAAGGTTTAAATTTTCCTACACTATGCATTCTTAGACAGAGTTCATTGAAAAATATACACAAATCTTTAAAAAACTAGCTTAACCTGATTTTTTACTGGTGGTAGGACCTATTGTGAGCCCGCGCGGGTGGGTTCCACCGCCCCGCACTCCTTCTGCCGTGAAACAGTAATGCGTTTCAGCTTGAAGGGTGGGGCAGCCGTTGTAACTATACTGAGACCTCAGAACTGATATCTCATGGAGGGTGGCGCATTTACATCGTAGATGTCTATGGGCTCCAGTAACCACTTAACATCAGGTGGGCTGTGAGCTCGTCGACCCATCTAAGAAAAAAAAAAACAGCTAGGCTTTTGCGGTGAATCGGACTACGTATGGGGACAACAGAGTTTTCGATAGGGGTGGCATTGTTTAGTTGTTAGGTACGTACTTACCTTTAGATAATTAACTTTTAAATATCTTTAATCAGTTACATAACTCTGATGACTAAATTAAACTATTTAATCTTATCTTATACCTTTAAACGAGCAATTCTGATCTACAGCTAATCTGAATCTCGAAAACGGCTCCAACGATTTTCATAAAATTTAGTATACAGGGGATTTCGGGGGCGATAAATCGATCTAGCTACGATTTATTTTCAGAAAATGTTGTTTTATTCGTGTTTTCAATAATCAACTTTATCGATAATCAACTTTATGACTCTTCCCGACATCTGTTCGCGAATAATAATACTATTTTTCTTAATTGAGGGCAACTAACCGCTTTAAAGAGACAACAAGATGGCGTTAAAAAAAAACGAGCAAAGCTCGGTCATTATCTAGTATTCTTAAACACTAAATAAAAGTCATTTTCTATTCAACAAATTAAAATATCACAAAAGCATTGTGACAACCAGGATTTGTCCCTATTCTAGCCCTAGTCCCTATTCTCCCCAATCTACGGTACTCTTATAATTTATATCATCATATTTAATAGATAATCAAATATGTCTAACGTATTCCGGCTTAGTGACGAACGCCAGCTAGATGCAATTATAAGAAATTTTAAGTATATTATATATCAATTTATTAATTTTGACAGATTCCGAAATGTCCGTAAAGGCGAATGTAAATTTTCATCTACGCCTACGATATAGAAATACTCGTAGTAGTACATACATGTCACTTTAACAAGACCATGTTATCAAAAATTAATTTTAATAAACCTTAAGGTTTCAGCGTCAGAGCGCTAAACTGACGCCGCGCTAGACGCCGAGATGTGTTGTACTAATATAGTAACATACCGTCAAACAGAGCCCCAGCGCTATAAGTACGCAGCGCTCTGTCGCGGCGTTAGGACGCTTTGAGATCAGGCGTTGTAATTTTTTACAAATTTTATTTTAGCGTCCGAGTGACTGTGTATTAAAATACTAGATAATGCCCGAAAAAATGATATAAATAGTTAGAAAATACCCATGCTTATACTGAATCACTCGAATTCTTAATACTTTTAAATTTTCACACTGCTATCGAAAGGCACTATGATTTGGCGTTACGTTGCGTCAAGGAGCGTTAGGCTCATCTAGTCAATTGGTGTGACATGAAAAGAGCGCGACGTTAAGTACGCGTTCTGTTTGACGAAGGCTTAACTGTATTTACGTCTTAGTAGAGGATTGATTTTGTATAATCGTAATGACGAAAGTCATTGAAAACGTAATAGATTCTGAAATGTTATTTTTATTTATTTAATTATTTAACTAAATAAGTAAAAAACCATGACTCAACATTTCTTAGTAGTTGAAATACTTTAACGTTCGGCAGGTACACATTAATAGAAAATTATGTGTGAAAATTTGGTTATTCAGAATTAGCATTCATCGAGTGGCTCGTACGCTTGTCAACGTTTGAAAGATTTGAAAATGTGTAATTGAGTGTCCGTGGCTACCAACCAGTCTTACTTCGGATTTGATTATTTTGCATTACTGTACATTTATTTCTGAGCGCTCTCGGTATTACCCAATAAAATGTCAAGTACATTTAACCAATTACCGTTTTCAATTATTCAAATATTCAAGGCTCGCCAAAACGGTAGATCGGTCGTTTGAAAACTCGTTAAAGAATTTAAATCGACCTTAATCTGATTTAACTTAGCTCTTTAACGTAGGAGAATCGTGTAGACGTCTATCTCAAGTTTTATTAACGTAGATATTGCGTTTATCAGTGTTATTAAACATGTTTTGTATTTTCTCGTTCTAACTAAGTAAATTTTACAGGTTCAGTTTTTATTTTCTCTTAATTTATATAAAATACATCCGTTTCTACAATTTACATGCCGCTTATTATTATTATTTTTTTATTGCATTATGAGTGGACGAGCTCACAGCCCACTTGTCGTTAAGTGGTTACAGGAGCCCATAGACGTCTACAACGTAAATGCGCCACTCACCTTGAGATATAAGATCTCAGTATAGTTACAACGGCTGCCCCACCCTTCAAGGCGAAACGCATTACTGCTTCACGGCAGAAATAGGCAGGGTGGTGGTACCTACCTATTAGTATTGTAATTGATATCTCGATGTTACTATAGTCTAAAACTGCTCAGAAGTTCCAATAAAAGCTTACGTACAAGTTTCAGCACTAATCGACACTTACGGATAGCACGTGTGTACGTAATTAAAAAATAAAAGCTATTTACTCATGATTTTAATTGTTACTAGTTCATAATTCAATTTAAATCTATAAAATCCATCGTCAGACCCGTAATAGTATTCTAAAAAGTTTGATATGGTAGTCATTATCTGTGTGATTCGAGATTGTTTCAGAAACGAAATTCCATAATCCTGTTCCATAATTAGAAACTCACAGATTAAATTGTCATAATATCGAAATAGAAAAAAAAAACGTTTTTTTATGCTATTTCATTTTGTTATTTCTTCTTGTGGTGATAATTTTCAAAAAAGGTAACGTAATCTAGATTACGAATTGTAAAAAAATTACTCATTATTCCGTGATTAAAAATCACATGATTGTTATTCTATGTAGTTTGTGAACTCTAAAATTTTGTTACGCAAGAAAGGGCATAATTTTGCAATTCATGTCCATCGTTAATCACGAATAAAAACGATCAAAAAAGTTTTTCATCGTAATCAAGTGCTTAAGTCTCATATTTTAGCAGAGAGATTTATCGCACAGTGACACTTAAATTCCATATAACATTTAGTTTAGTGAGTGATATTTTTATGACACATCACACTCAGGGTCATTGGTAACTTTGAACATACTTTGTTAGAAACATTCGCAGAGCTGACACTGTTCACAATACAACCCGTGAAGGAGGTACTTACGTAAGTCAGTTCTAGTCACCGTTCACTCCTCGATTAACGTTTTACACGAACACCGTGCTACTACAGCTCCCTACATACACCCACGCGCCCTCTTAGTTTTCCTCGCAATGTAATCGCTATCTCTTTCCCGCAGGACATTTGTATTTCAGCCATGAAGGAGAAGGACATAGAGGCAAAGCTACGTCAAGTGACAAACGAATGGTCTGTTCACGAACTTACGTTTCAAACGTTTAACAACCGCGGCGAACTTCTTCTACGAGGCGACACTACTGCCGAAACTATCGGTCAGCTCGAAGATAGCCTCATGATCCTTGGCTCTTTGCTATCAAACAGGTTTGGGTTCTTGTTTGAAAAAAAAAGTTCTGTTATTACCATTTTAAACTGTCAAAACTCATTGTATTAAAAGTATTGGTTGATTTTGATTTCGTCGTATTAAATGATGTTCTATTTCGACAGATACAATGCTCCGTTCAGGAAGCAAATCCAACAATGGCTTTACGATTTGCAAAGCACGAACGAAATCTTAGAGCGGTGGCTTCTCGTGCAGAACATGTGGGTTTACTTGGAAGCAGTGTTCGTGGGGGGTGACATTGCAAAGCAATTGCCTAAGGAAGCTAAGCGATTTTCGAAAATAGATAAATCGTGGCAGAAAATTATGCAGCGAGCTCACGAAACTCCCGGTGTGGTCTCGTGCTGTGTTGGCGATGACCTGCTTCGGCAATTGCTGCCACATCTACAAGAGCAGCTCGAGTTGTGTCAAAAGAGTCTCAGCGGGTACTTGGAAAGGAAACGTACTATGTTTCCGAGGTTTTTCTTCGTATCAGATCCTGCTTTACTCGAAATATTAGGACAAGCGTCAGACTCTCACACTATACAGAATCATCTGTTGTCAATATTTGATAACATTCGATATGTAAAATTTCACGATATCGGTAATCATTTCAGATTGATAATTACTTTTTTAGCTCAAAATGTTTTTTTCTGTCTGCTTTACTCTTTTTATTTATTGCTTCGATGCATGAACGAAGTTCCCACAGCCCACCTGGTGTTAAGTGGTTACTGGATCCCATAGACATCTATAACGTAGACGCGCCACACACCTTGAGATACAAGTTCTAAAGTCTCAGTATAGTTACAACGGCTGCCTCAACCTTCAAACCGAAACGCATTACTGCTTCACGGCAGAAATAGGTAGGGTGGTGATACCTACCCGTGCGGACTCACAAGAGGTCCTACCGCCAGTATATCATCATAATCGTATCTTATCATAACAAATCCTAAAAAGTTTCCAATCAAAATTTAAAGTTTTATTTCTTTCAGAGTACAACAAAATGATAGCTATAATATCATCGGAGGGTGAAGAGATAAAGTTGGAGCGTCCCGTGAGGGCTGAAGGCTCGGTGGAGACGTGGCTGACCTCGCTACTTCAATCCGCTCAGAGTAGCCTACACTCGATCATTCGCAATGCCGTATCGCTCATCAATGACCCGGCTTTCAACCTACTATTATTTTTAGACAAAATGCCTGCCCAAGTACGCTTACGATTACTTCAATGATTTTTTTTTGGTCAGGAGGTAATCGCCGGGCTTCCGCCGTTGACTGGGGATGGAGGGCGGGGCATGTCAAAGTCAACTAACTAAAACCTCCTGTCGCTCAACAACCAACGTCCAAACCTCGCATGAGACAGAGCTCATGAAAAGGCAAAGGGGGGAAATTAAAGCGTTTAGTGCGGAGCACATCTCTCCCATCACCCTCCCCCACGATTACTTCAATGATAGAGGATTATTTATTATATTATATGTATTACTAGCTGACCCGGCAAACGTTGTTTTACCATATATAAGACTTCCAGGGAATTTCTAGTGTAGAAAAAAAAAACTAACCTATTATAAGTGTGTAAGGATGTGGTAAATGAGTGGAAGAGGCATGTAGCGCTGTGAACGATGAGGGAATATAAAAATAACAAAACCTCATTACCAAATAATGCCAATAACAAAGGAAAAAATTGTCCAAAAAATAAAAAAATAAATGTTAGGGGTGGACAAACCTTATCACTTATGGGTATCATAGATAGTAACCGATTCTCAGACCCACTGAACATGCATATAAAATTTCATAAAAATCGTTCAAGCCGTTTCAGAGGAATATGGTAGCTAACATTGTGACACGAGAATTTTATATATAAGATTTATAGTAGTCAGCGGCTTGGCTCTGCCCCTGGCATTGCTGACGTCCATGGGCGACGGTAACCATTCACTATCAGGCGGGCCGTAAATCTGCCTACAAGGGCAACAAAAAAAATACACAATGGCTAGCCTCCCGCACAATGCACCGACGACCTATTGAAGTTCTCGGGAATCCGCTAAATGCAAGCAGCGCAGGACCGATTTTTGTGGCGAGGCTTGGGGGAATGCCTATACATATTATGAATTGTGGGAAGCCTATGTCCAGCAGTGAAAGTCTGTGGGCTTATAGAATAGAACACATTAATTAAATATAAATTAAAAAATTAACAAACAATAAAGTTAAGTTTCAACATAAACAAACAAAAATTCATTAATCCAAAAGATACAACATTTTACAAATTTTCAAGGCCGCTATTTTAGGAATGTATTTTGTCATACCCTTACATTATTAGTAAATTTGAATTGAACCTTATTTTACTGTGGCTTAGATCTAAGATGACATCACCGAAGGGAAGCCTAAAGGGTCAACCCGGGAATTCTGAATTATGGATGGAATATAATGTAGAAAGAGACAGAATGAGAATATCGATCTAGTTCGTATCGCACCCCAACGAAATGTTATAAGTTGTTACGTACAGCAAACAAACCGACAAGAAACCGTTTTTTTTAAATTATTTACATGCTACTCGCGCTTTATCCAGCCAATAATGACTAATCGAATGCTGATACGAGAATTGACACTATTTCATTTTTATGTTGTACTAATTAAAATAGAGACATACTATTAACATAAACAAGTAATGTTATTTGGCGTTAGCTATCATAGAACACAAGATATTTGACGGGTGCCTGAATCTCACTAACGACAATTTCAAGTAAGGTTTGCAAATATACATGTGTCGAACAATTGGACCATCGGTCTCCCGAACAAGTTCACGCGCTCGGTGGAAGATCTTCCCTTGTGTCAGTTTCTCCAAAATCATATTAAAATTGAAAACAAATGCGTTTTGCAAAATAGAGCTCGTAATATGGTTATATTCATTATTGTTTTAAAATAGCTATTCTATTAATAACACTGCCGCTCAAATGCCTATCGAAAAGTCTAAACAAATCACTAGATTCTCGATAAAAAATATTAAATAATTTCTGGTTCGATAACAATATAATAGTTTTACATTAACAGATACAAATGTTATTCCCCTACCTTTCCTCTACCTACCTTTCGTTTGTATCTTAAGAGTTACCTTATAGTTTATACCTATTTTTTTCCCCCTACCTTTCGTTTTTATCTTAAGAGGTTATTCCAGCTACGCGCGGACTAGTGTGATCGTTAGCCATGCCATAGCAAAGACAACTTCTATGAGCTGTTATTAGAATGAATAGAACTTTACGTCATTATGAAACTCTTTCATAATTTAGCTAGATAATACCAAAATACCTTAGGGTCAATAATACCTTAGTTTTTCTTTTAAAACTTGTCGAATACGTCAATCCACAGATCGGGCTTTTAGGGATCCAAATAATATGGACAAGAGACGCGGAGGCCGCCCTCATGCAGGCCCGTCAAGACAAGAAGATCATGTCTGATACCAATAACAAATTCCTGGAACTTCTTAACACCCTCATAGATCAGACGACGAGAGATCTGCTCAAGATCGAAAGGATCAAATTTGAAACATTGATCACCATTCACGTGCATCAGCGAGATATCTTTGATATGCTGGTAAGTTAGCGTGGTCTGAAGACTGACTGTTGTATGCCACCTTTATGAATACACGCGAATCTCAGACTGTTCTACTGTTAATATATTATTATGTTAGCATATGACTGTCAAATTTACATTATTGAATCATTGACAAATTAAAGAGCGGACGGTTAGCGTGGTATGAACATGTGATGGGAGAGAGGAGATGCATGTGACTAGGAGATGTATGAATGGTAGCGCAAAGTAGTGGGGAAAGAGGTCGACCGAAGAAGACATGGATGGAGTTTGTGAATGACGATATGAAAGAGAGAGAGGTGTGAGTGTTAAGATGACGGCTGATAGAAGAGAATGGAATAGAAAAATTGTGGGATAAGCTGGAGAAAAAGAAGATTAAGTGAAATAGTTAAATATCCTACCTGTACCTATAAATAATACATAAAATACATTTACCGAATTTATGTGATATTCATTCCGAACGTGCAGGACAATGCCGTGTGAACACAACTTTACAGTTTTCGTGGTCGTAGCCGTAACAGTCGTTTTAATTAAATGTGTAGTGTGGTCACCCACTATTGATCTAGGTTACCTATTAATATTTAAGTGTTTTCAGATGTCTAAAAATGTTTAACATATAACCCCTCTAATCTTGTTGATTACAAAAACACAATTTCCGAATATTATTATGTGTAATATCGATAAAATAAAATGTAAAAGATTAAAATTTAAACACAATTTCATACAAATCATAAGTAATGCTGAGAAAGCTTTGGATCTCAAATTACAGTAGTAAAATCAGGAAAATGTTTATTAACGTTACAATGGCCTGTGTGACCTATAATAATAGCAAGGACAATAGACAAAAGAATCTGAAAACAGAATTTGTATTGTTCATTGGGTGGGAAAAGAAAATACGCTGTTAATTTTTTTTTTTTTTTCGAAAGTTGTATAACCTTTTTTTTTTTAAATAGACTCGTAATATTTCCTAAGAAATTATTTGAAATGGCTTCATAAAATATTTTCGTTGTTCATAAATGATAACTGTTTAGTAATACACAAAATTCAAATTGGATCTTAAATTATTTATCATGTTGGAGCGTATAAAGCGTTCTTTAAATTAACTTTGCGGTAGGCAGCGGCTTGGCTCTGCCCCTGGCATTGCTGAAGTCCATGGGCGACGGTAACCACTCACTATAAGGTGGGCCGTATGCTCGTCTGCCTACAAGGGCAATAAAAAAAAAAAAACTATCGAAAATTTGTAAGGGCCGCAATTGACGTTTGCGATTATATCCTCCTCCTTGCATCGATAATTCTCATTGCTGAGGGTCGTGGCCTCTTCTAACAGCTTTCTTCTGGATTCTCCTACGCCACTTCTGCCTATTATCGGCTGTGTGGAGCGTATTTGGTCCCACCAGCGCATTGGACTTCTTCCTCTGGGCCTCTTTCGCGTACCTTGCCTGTTACCAGCAGCTTCTCTAAATATACGAGTAATAAATAATAAGTAAAAAGTTTCGATTGTGAAAATCATTAGGCAAACAACATCACACGTTTTTTTTTTTAGTGCTTAGATGGGTATCGAGCTCACAGCCCACCTGGTGTTAAGTGGTTACTGGAGCCCATAGACATCTACAACGTAAATGCGCCACCCACTTCGAGATATAAGTTCTAAGATCTCAGTATAGTTACAACGGCTACCCCACCCTTCGAACCGAAACGCATTACTGCTTCACGGCGGAAATAGGCGGAGTGGTGGTACCTACCCGTGCGGACTCCCAAGAGGTCCTACCACCAGTACCACCACACGTTCAATGATCTACGTTTGAAAAGGGACTTTTTTCCGTGTATGTACTGTATTTTGATCATGAATCATCATTAACAGTGCCGTCTTAATGTTCGTTCTGCAAACGACTTCGAATGGCTGAAGCAATGCCGGTTCTACTTCAAAGAGGACACGGACAAGACCTGGATATCGGTGACAGACGTCACGTTCACTTACCAGAACGAATATCTGGGATGTACCGAGAGGCTTGTTATTACTCCCTTAACTGACAGGTGAGATTAACATCAAAAGTTAATCCGTAATAACGTAGTCGTGAGTATAAATATTTAGACACGAACGCTTCCAAAAATTATGAGTTCCGATTTCATAAAATACTATCAAATAATATTTAGTAAGCATTGGAGCATTATGATAAATTCTCGGGTTTACTTATAGACATGTATAAATAATTGTACCCTTGTGGGACACCCTGTATACATAATTTTATATATTCTAGAGAAATACGGCCGTGGTCCGCTTTGACGAAATACGAATTATATGAAAACTTAAACTGAAGTAACTATTATTTCATTAGTCTCACAGGTTTACGCAGTTGACCGAGTCTAAAACATTGTTAGATCTTCGTAGCGTTTGATGTAAAATAAAAATAAAAGCAACATTAACCATAGAAAAAAAAATTGTTTTTTTTTGTAATTTACAAAAAATACGCCTTCGATTTCAACCTAAGGGCGCTTTCGTTTGCTAATGAACACCTTTTGTTTATCAGTTCATTCTTACTTCTCCACTGAAGCGTAGTGATCAACTTATAACAATATAATATAATATCTTCCCATTCAAACACAAAACGGCTTTATGAACAAATATATATTGTCCAATAACAGCTTCCTGCCAATTAATTTGTACAACACACAATAATAATAATAAATCAATACTGATCTCGACACGTGCGACAAATCATTAATTTTATCCAGCTCACAAATCATAATTAATAACTTAACTTTGTGAACAAAATCGGACATAAATAATGTAAGAAAATTGCATAGAACTCTTGTTTGTTAAATCAAGCTTTTGCTATTAGTAGTAATGTGAGCTCACGCGAGTAGGTTTTACCTATATATAGCAGTCAAGCGTTCCGATTTGAAAGTTGATATAAACATCATGCAATATGATTAAGGCGTACACCTCAGGTTGAAGTTCTGAGGAACTCTGCCAGTCAAAAATCAACACTAGTCCCTACAATGACTATCTATACTAATATTATAAAGTGGAAAGATTTGTTTGTTTGTTTGTATTAAATAGGCTCCGAAACTACTGAACCGATTTGAAAAATTCTTTCACTGCTTGGAAGCTACAGTATTCCCGAGTGCCATTTTTTGAAAAAAATTAGGGATATTTACTAAAACTCCAATAATGTAACCCAAGGTGTAAAAAAATTACCTAAAATATTCTGTACTCACGTGCCCTGCGAAAACTATTAATGATAGAATAAAATCATGTACTACGACTTTGTAGAACACGTTACTATTTACAAAAAGTGTCGCGACAGCATATGTCTAACTATTATAATTATGTCGCAATAAGTATTCTTTTATTTATAAAATAAAACAACGTCAAATATCGTTGAAATTTTTGTTAACGACCCGAGCGGAGCCAGAACGCGCCGCTATATTTAATAAGTGCCTTTTCATGTGTGCTCATACACGGTATCTCCATTGTTTTGTAAAATAACTTGGTCGGTTAAGCTCTTTCAAAGTCTCAGATGATATTGTATGAGAGGGCGCCGTGCCTCATCGGTTATGCTTTCGACGACGCCATAAGAAAAGTTTAGACGAGCCACTTTATGATATATAATGTTCCGTTTAAGCTAAAAAATAATAATTTAAAGTTAAGAAAATTGCTGTCGCAAAGAAAACCAACCGGCTTTTGTCTTCCTCGACTTTCATATTTCTCTAAATTATAATCCAAGCTGATCCGTTAAAAGAAAATAAGAAATAAATGTAAAAGCTTAACGTAAAATCCATTATTTTTATTTTGTATCGAAGGATTTGTACTCATAAAAGCATCTCTTTGATTTTGTTTTTATTAAAATCACGAAATTCCACAGATGTTACATTACATTAGCCCAAGCCCTCGCCATGAGCATGGGCGGGGCTCCATGCGGCCCTGCGGGGACCGGCAAAACGGAAACGGTCAAAGACATGGGGAAAACTCTGGCCAAATACGTCGTCGTCTTCAACTGTTCGGATCAAATGGATTACAGGTACCATTAGTTATCAACGTATGAATGTTTCATGTTTCAATGAGTTACTCTTTTATTTCATTTATTTCATCTATTCCAAAGGTATTTCTCCTTTGTCGTATGACTCTTGTCAGAGCGGCCGTAATCATTCAATATTATATATTCAGGTACACAAACCCTTTAGTGAAATTGAGATCAATAAAAAAGTATATAAATACTGTAGGTCCGTATTTAATAAAATTAATATTTATCTTACAAATATTTAACTAGCATGGTGAACAGTTACGATTACAAACCACCGAATGTTAAGTGTTTGCCTGAACACTTCTACGCCACGAAGTAGCTGAGTCATCCACGGAAATTGGAATAACCTCTATCCACATTCAGATATAAACGCATTCATTCGCATTATTGTTTTTTCAATGCTAACGCTTTGTTAAAGGGACATTGTCTTTTGCATTATTTATTAAAAAAACAACATATTTTTGAATTTAACTAGAAATGCCCTGTGGTTTCAACCGCATAGAAAGAGTCTATTTAAAATTATTAAAAATTTAAATTTAAATTTAAATCGATTTGTTATTATTATTATTTATATCCTGGCATTGCTGAAGTCCATGGGCAATGTAACCACTCACCATCAGGTGGGCCGTATGCTCGTCTGCATACAAGGGCAATAAAAAAAAAAAAGAAGCCACGCTTTGCGTTTTCCCTGGATAAAGAGTTGATTGGTCACTTTCTAGTCCATAAACTATCAGTAAATCTGTAGATACACTTGCAATACATATGATCTAACAAGCACGTTGGTGTACTAACTGTACCAGATATACCCGGTGTAGACCTGGACACGTCATTTGCACTGGTTAAAAAGATGTGCTGTTTGCAAAAATTATCTTTGTGTATGAAATTTCATTCACAGCCCTTGAGTTTTTTTTTTATTTGATTGTTTCTTTTTGCTTAGATGTATGGACGAGCTCACAGCCCACCTGTGTTAAGTGGTTACTGGAGCCCATAGACATCTGCAACGTAAATGCGCCACCCATCTCGAGATATAAGTTCTAAGGTCTCATTATAGTTACAACGGCTACCCCACCTATCAAACCGAAAGGCATTGCTGCTTCACGGCAGAAATAGGCGGGGTAGTGGTACCTACCCGTGCGGACTTACACAAGGTCCTACCACCAGTACAAGTTGATATTTTTTTCATTGAGTAACAATCATACAAACTTTGCCATTTATAATATCGACGCTTGAAAGGCAAATATGACTAAGCGACAATAAATGCTTTGTACATAAATGATAGGCAATAACCATATTCGATGCGCAAAAAAATATATGTCTAGGTCTATTAAAACCATTTCAATCCTACAGCTACTAGCTAGACTCTACTACAGGTAGATTCGTTAAAATAAATTTTGTTTACAGGTATTTCAACTTTAAATTAGTCTACTGTAAAGTTCACGCATTGTCGCTTAGTCACGTTTGCCTTTCAAGCGTCGATATAATATTAGTTACGTTTTATAATAGCATGTCGTATAAATTTACTTGGCAGAATAAAGGTGTGCAAGTTAATAAAAAGATTTTATTGGCACCGAAAAAATATTCAAGAGTGAGAATAAAATTCTTTCCCTTTAACACGGAGTCCGGGTTAGCTGAACTAAATATCTCTATTAAACATACTTAGTATTAAAATCTCGTCCCACATAAATTTCCAATGTCCATTACAAAGCAGAAAAGTCTTCGGACAGTTGAACATGGAACGTTTAAGTTTAAAAAAACAAATAGATGTAACCTCTATACGATTTATCTTAAAAGAGGTTAACGTATATTATAAAGATGACACAAATATAATTTCGAATATTGAAACATTAGAAGAAGGAACAGTAGAAATATAAAAGCATTTTGGAATATTGAAATATAAAAATAGTGGAGAAGCAATAGCTTTAAATGTTGTTTCTCTTTATAGATCAACTCAATTTGTGCTATAGTTTTACTAAGCTAAACTTTATTTTGATGTAAATAAAATAAAACATTATATAGATAAAAGCAATTACGAGAATTGATCTGCACGACCTTCAAAGAACCTTCACGCGTTTGTTGAGCGATATTTATGAAATAATAATTACCTTCCATTTCTGTCCTCACTAAACGGATATTTCACGAGAAATCTGTATTTAATTTGTAACTAATTTTGTGACCAGAAACATTATCTTCAGTGAACCGTATTTTTTTTTTGTTTGATATTCATTTCAATACTGCTATCTTTTGAAACTTGAAACACATAATAATATACTTAGTCTGGCCATAAATACTGAGACAGGAAAAAAAAAATCTATTACAAATAACATTTATTACTTTTACAGTGTGTTAGTTTAATACATAAATATAAAACAATTTAAAGTATAAAAAGCTTATTCGAAGTGGTCTCCATTGGCTGCAATACAGTCCTTTAAACGTTGACGTCAGTTATCAATAGAATCACGCACTCTTTCCATGGGAAAATTTTTCACTGCCAATCGTACGGATTGTTTTAGGGACTCCAAATTATCATGGCGTTTAGAGCAAGCCGTACTCTCTAAAACTGACCATAAATCATAATCCAGTGGATTAAGATCGGGACTACACGACGACCAGTCTTCAGCTCTGATGAAGCCCGAAACGTTCGTTTCCAACCAAGGCTGCGTAGACCGAGCTTTATGACCTGGCGCTGAGTCTTGCTGGAAGGACCATTCTTGATTATTGAACATGGTGTTGTTAAGGGGCTTCACTACCTTCTCAAGAATGGTATCTTGATACACTTGTGCCGATGTTTTGATACCTTTTTCAGAAAAGTATGGCTCAGTCACTCCTTCATAGCCCCACCAAACCATCACTGAAGTCGGATAGTGCCCACGTTGCACTCTGTCGACTAATTGGGAAGCTTCCTTAGAGCTTTGAGCATAAATACGGTCATTTTTTTGTTAAAATGTTGCTCGATTGTAAATAAATTCTCATCCGCTTCAGTGGTTGTTTCGATTTTACCACCCTATTCTCTTTTAAATTATCTGTTAAGAAATGACCAGTACGTCTCTTATAGGCTGCAAGTCTATCTTCTAATCTTTTAAAATACGCGACATGGTTCTAGGTGCTATATTCGTCTCCCGAGATAAAATCTTTTGCTTTCGGACAGGATTTCTTCGAATTATTTCCCTTACTGCTTTGACCGCCTTTTTCGTACGAACACTACGTGGACGGCCAGATCTTTTTCTGTCACAAACAGAGGAGGTCCCATTGCACCTATTAATAGCCCGGTACACAAACATTTTACTAATACCAAGCGTGTGGAGAGTTTTAAAAATGTTAGTTGGCTCCATACCTACTTTGTGTAATGCAATCACAGCGATTCCGTTCTCTTTATCACCCCACTCCATTTTAATATCGCAAAATATTGTACAATGTATTGGCACCAAAATGAGAAAACTCAATAAGCAATCATATAAAAATAACAGATTCCAAATTCAAATGTAATATTTTGTTTATTTTTAATTGTAACAGTATTTGTGGCCAGACTAAGTATAATAATTAACAATTTAAACTAACTAACTTAATTTCGTTTTAATAGCATTAAGTGTTTATTGTCAATTGATGTTGTACCGTTGTTACTCGAGTTTAAAAGTACAATAGTCGGGGTTAACATTTCTGCAAAACTCGCTTTCGTATTTATGTGAAATTTTATTCCCTTTTTCTTCAGTCCTGAACCACTAACCTACTAATCGTTTCTAGATTATTAGCCAGCCACTTAGATCTGCCCCTGGCATTGCTGACGTCCTTGGGTGACGGTAATCACTCACCATCAGGTGGGCCATATGCTCGTCTGCCCGTAAGAGCAATTAAAAAAAGATCAATTATCCAAATATTTTATAATATGTAAAAAATTAAAAGCACGATCGCCTGGGAAAAATTATTATAGCTTGTGTCACACGACATGATATTAAATTATTATAACAAAGCCAAATATGTGCCTACAGAGCTTTATCATGATATCCTATCAATGTCCGAATATTTTTATACCTTATACTAATGTATTGTATTTTGGTTCCAATTAATTAATTATAATTTGAAATAATAAAATGAATTTCGATCATATACGATATCTAATACATTTTCTGTTTATAATAAAATTATTTTTCATAGCCGAACACTCTTCGATTGCTTCTGTCGTGTGTTCCTAAAGCTGCATATCCTACAGGCATTTTCCAATTTGCTCCATTTCAGAGGCCTCGGTCGGATATATAAAGGTTTGGCGCAATCCGGTTCCTGGGGATGTTTTGATGAATTCAATCGCATCGAATTGCCGGTACTATCAGTGGCCGCACAACAGGTAGCCGTGGTGCTCGCAGCTAAAAAGGAAAAAAAGAAATCCTTCATATTTACTGATGGCGACACGTCAGACATGTGTCCCGAATTCGGGATATTCATAACTATGGTTAGTTGTAATAGTCGGATTGGAGTTGGTTGATTTTATACCTAACTAGTTGACCCGGCAGATTTCGTAGTGCCTCAATCGATAAATAAAAGACTTTATTATAAGTATATTAAAGAATAAAAGACTTGAAAACAAAAGGAATCCGTTCGACGGGGGACACATCAAAGGAAAAACAAAATTGTTATTTTTATTTATTTCCGAGCATTTTCATATTAATCTACCTTTTAAACCTTCTCTGGACTTCCACAAATAACTCAAGACCAAAATTAGCCAAATCAGTCCAACCATTCTCGAGTTTTAGCGAGACTAACAAACAGCAATTCATTTTTATATACCTATATATAGATAGAATACCTAATTTGGTGAAAAAATCGTTTGAATCGTTATTATAAACTAAACTATTATTATTATATATTCATGTTAGTGTAATTGTGATCTAAATTCCTATGAAGAGTGGTTTCCTTCCTTAATGCTATGCTAATTGCCTTTAAGCACGAATTTGAAGGATATGCCAGGCGTTATTCCAAAAGCAGCTGAGACTTATAAAATAGCTCATGTCTTCAACACTTGATGTAACACAAACTCAAATATCCATATGAGCTAATAAAATTTACGTCAGCTGTAACTAGGTTTTAATAACAATAAACTGTCTTAAGTTGTTGTAAAAGTTGCTTTCTTGATTGTGACACTATAAAACAGACGAATAAAATCCATGTGCAGTAATTTAAATTTAATTTAATTTTTCATTAATTTCACAAAAGTACATTTCGAAAACAAACAGAACCCAGGGTACGCCGGTCGCAAAGAGCTCCCAGAAAACCTCAAGATCCAATTTCGCACTGTAGCCATGATGGTCCCCGACAGACAAATTATCATTAGAGTAAAATTAGCCTCTTGTGGCTTCTTAGAGAATATTACTCTGGCCAGAAAGTTTTACACGCTATACAAATTGTGTGAGGAACAATTAACAAAACAAGTAAGATTTTGTTTTACTGTAAATCAATTCAATTGTAATTACTATATTTTTTATTACATTTTTTGTTGTTGTTGTTTTATATTTAGTAAAATTAAATTCTATATAAATTTTTTTATTGCTTAAATGGATGGACGAGCTCACAGCCCACCTGGTGTTAAAGTGATTACTGGAGCCCATAGACATCTACAACGTAAATGTGCCACCCACCTTGACATATAAAGTTCTAAGGTCTCAAGTATAGTTACAACGGCTGCCCCGCCCTTCAAACCGAAACGCATTACTGCTTCACGGCGGAAATAGGCGAGGTGGTGGTACCTACCCGTGTGGACTCCCAAGAGGTCCTACCACCAGTGATTACGCAAACTACAATTTTGCGGGTTTGATTTTTATTACACGATGTTATTCCTTCACCGTGGAAGTCAATCGTGAACATTTGTTAAGCACGTATTTCATTGGAAATATTGGTACCCGCCTGCGTGATTTGAACACCGTTGCATCGCTCGATACGAATGCACTTGACGTCTTCTCGTTTAGGCCACGACGACTTCAAAATTAACAACGAAAAAATTCCAATCTCTTCAAAATATCGCTAAGTTTGCGATCTTATTTACCAAACATTTTACTGCATCTCTTCTTGCGTAGGTCCATTACGATTTCGGCCTCCGGAACATCCTATCGGTTCTACGTACTTTAGGCGCAGTCAAACGAGTAAACTCGAAGGATAATGAAAGTACAATTGTCATGAGAGTGCTCAGAGACATGAATCTGTCCAAGTTGATAGATGAAGATGAGCCCCTGTTCATATCTTTAGTGGCCGACCTTTTCCCGAATCAGATGTTAGAGAAGACTACTTATATAGAATTAGAAGAAGCAATAAAGAAACAGGTGGATTTGTCTGGTTTGATAAACCATCCACCATGGATTTTGAAAATAATACAGGTAATTATAGTCGGTCGGTAAAAAAAAAATGTCGAAAAAAATTCGAATACTCGTACGCTTTCATTTAAAATACAAAAAATTTTAATTCTTAGTTATACGAGACACAGCGTGTACGTCATGGAATAATGACATTGGGTCCACCCGGAGCCGGGAAAACTACGTGTATCCACACTCTCATGAGCGCACTATCAGAAATCGAAAATCCACACAGGTTTGTAACTTTAAATTAATTTCTTACAATCAACAAACCTAAAATTACACATTGAGTTATAAGAAACCTATTTGTAGAGAGATGCGGATGAACCCAAAAGCAATTACGGCAGCGCAAATGTTTGGTCGCCTCGACGTTGCAACCAATGATTGGACCGATGGAATATTTTCCGCCCTATGGAGGAAAACCCTCAAAATTAAAACTGGAGAGAATATCTGGTTGGTATTGGATGGCCCTGTGGACAGCATTTGGATAGAAAATTTGAACTCTGTGCTAGATGATAATAAAACTTTGACATTGGCCAACGGAGATCGTCTCACAATGTCCCCTACTTCGAAAGTATTATTTGAACCTGAAAACATAGACAACGCTTCACCAGCCACTGTATCTAGAAATGGAATGGTGTACATGAGCTCATCCGGACTGGATTGGGATCCAGGTATAATAGTATTTCTGATGGGTTTTTTTATTACGTGGCTTCGTAAGTAACCACATGGATATGTTTCGTTCACAGTTTTCCGCGCCTGGTTGATGACACGTTCGACTAGAGAAGCAGAAGTTTTCTGTTCTCTTTTCGAACAAACTTTCCCTATAGTGTATACTTGGTGCACTCAGAATCTAAATTTCAGTATGCGAGTATTGCAGAGCAATATTATTTTACAAATGCTTAATCTTCTCGAAGGTCTAGTGCCGCCACAAATTGTTGAAACAGAGGAACCTTCGGCTAGCAAATCTGTAAACGGAGACATGGAGGACGATGAAGAAAAAGAAAAGGCCGAAGAAATTGTTTTGTTCACGCCTGAACATTTACATAAAATTTATGTTTTCGTTTTAATTTGGGGTTTTGGATCCCTTTTCGAAACGAACGACAGAATCAAATTTGACGGATACTTGAAAAGTAACTTCCGTGAAATACTCGAACTTCCAAAACATCCGAAAAATAAACCTTTTGTGGTTTTCGATTTTTACGTCAAACAACCTGGAAAATGGGAACTTTGGGATGATTTAGTGATGAATTACCAATACCCGGATACTGCAACACCAGATTATTCAACGATTCTCGTTCCTATAGTTGATAACGTTCGAATTAATTATCTCATTCACTGTATAGCCAAACAGGGAAAAGCAGTTCTATTATTGGGCGAACAAGGATCTGCAAAAACGGTTATGATGAAAGCGTATATGAAAAACGCGAACCCGGAACAGTTTATGGGTCGGTCCTTCAATTTCTCTTCAGCTACGAGTCCGTACCAATTCCAAAAAACAATTGAAAGCTATGTAGAAAAACGTAGTGGAATGACATTCGGTCCCCCGGGTGGAAAAAAAATGTTGGTATTTATTGATGACATAAATTTACCGCAAATTAATGAATGGGGCGATCAAATTACCAATGAAATAGTTAGACAAACTATGAGCATGGGAGGATTCTATAGTTTGGAGAAACCAGGCGATTTTACTACTATAGTAGATATTCAATTCTTAGGAGCTATGGGACAACCGGGTCTGTGACATTTTAATAATATTTTTAATGTTATCTAATCTTTGTTTTTTGTTAATTATTTTATGTGATTAAACTGCAGGTGGCGGTAGAAACGATATACCATCGAGGTTAAAACGACAATTTGCCATATTTAACTGCCCTTTGCCAAATAACGAGTCAATAGATAAGATTTTCAAGGTGATTGGTGAAGGTCACTACAACGCCAAGCGTGGTTTTGCGATGGAAGTTCGGTCTTTGATTAAGAAAATTATTCCACTAACAAGAGAACTTTGGATGCGGACAAGACAAAATTTATTACCTACGCCAGCGAAATTTCACTATGTATTTTCTTTGAGAGACTTATCGAGAGTGTGGCAAGGTATGGTGGGTACGTTGCCGACAGTTATCGAATCTGAAAAATGTCTCATGTTACTGTGGAAACACGAATGCTCCCGAGTTTTCTCGGACAGATTTACGCATCAGTCAGACAAAGATTGGTTCAATAAGGCCTTGTACGGAGTTGCTGAAGAGATTCTGGGTATGGAATACCGAAAAATGATGGAACGAGAACCCGTTTTTGTTGATTTTATGAGGTGATTCTTTAAAACAATTTATTTACCGGCTGAATCATTATATAAAAGTTTCCATTAATTACTTTACAACTTACTTAGCTTTCATGTAATTTGTTTATACTATAAATTATAAATATATGCAATCTTTATTTGATATTTAAAAATTCAGTCATCAAAGGAATATTTTCTTGTAGAGATGCTCCAGAGCCAACCGGGGAAGAAGGTGAAGATGCAGATATGGAACTTCCGAAGGTTTACGAACCTGTTTTTGATTACAATGAACTAAGAGAACGACTTGAAATGTTCTTGTCGCAATTTAATGAAATGGTGCGAGGGTCTGGTATGGACTTGGTATTTTTTCCAGACGCTATGTTTCATCTAGTCAAAATATCTAGAGTTATAAGGCATCCCAGAGGAAACGTTATGCTCGTTGGAGTGGGAGGATCTGGTAAACAATCTTTGACTAAGTTATCAACATTCATTGCTGGATACAGATCCTTTCAAATTGCTTTAACCAGATCCTATAATGTTGGCAACTTTTTGGAAGATTTGAAACTACTCTACAGGTAAATTTGCGAAAAAAATTATGATTTCAAAATTCAATGAGAAAATGTTGTCTAAAATTCATAATATTTCAGATCATGTGGTGTTCAAGGCAAAGGAACAACATTTATCTTCACAGACTTAGATATCAAAGAAGAAGGTTTTCTGGAATATTTAAATAATATTCTTTCATCTGGTGTTATTTCTAATTTATTTACCAAAGATGAGCAACAAGAAATTATATCTGAACTTACTCCTATAATGAAGAGAGAAAATCAGAAACGATCACTCACCAACGAACTCGTTATGGAGTACTTCCTGAATAGAACCTGTCAGAATCTTCATGTTGTACTATGCTTTTCGCCAGTAAGTTAACTTTTGAATTGATAATATAAGAAACTAACTTTAATATGTGAAGTGATTATAAAAAAATCACGTTCTAAAGTTTCATCTCCATGATTATTTATTTGTTTAGTATAGAAAAATAAGTTTACCAGCGTTTGAAGTATATAATTCCTTAGGTAAGTTTTGTTTACTCTATTATCTTTAGGTGAGCGAAGCCTTCAGGTATCGCGCTCTGCGTTTTCCTGCATTAATATCTGGATGCACGATTGACTGGTTTCAACCTTGGCCGAAAGATGCCCTTGTTTCTGTAGCTGACCATTTTCTTGCTGAATTCGAAATAGAATGCACCAAAGAAGTCAAAAAGGAACTCGTTACAGTCTTGGGTACTATTCAAGATGTCGTCTCAAATGTGTCCGTAGAATACTTCCAAAGATTCCGCAGATCATCTCACGTCACTCCAAAATCGTACTTGAGCTTCATCGGTGGATACAAAACGATCTATCAAATGAAACAGAAAGAATTAGGTGACGGTGCCTTACGAATGGATACAGGTTTAGAAAAATTAAGGGAAGCATCGATTTCTGTGGAAGTTTTGAAAAAAGATTTAGCCGTGATGGAGCAAGATTTGGCTTTGGCGTCTGAAAAAGCAGATCGTGTTTTGACCGAAGTAACAGAAAGAGCTATGCAAGCGGAAATCGTTAAAAATCAAGTACAGATTGTTAAAGAAAAGGCTGAAGCTTTAGTGGCATATATCGCTGAAGAAAAAGAAAAAGCCGAATTAAAATTAGAGGCAGCAAAACCAGCTCTAGAAGAAGCTGAAGCTGCATTGAACACCATTAAGCCAGCTCACATAGCTACAGTCAGGAAACTTGGTCGACCGCCACATTTGATCATGCGTATCATGGACTGCGTTTTAATTTTATTTCAAAGGCGATTGCATCCAGTTATATCTGACACTGCAGCACCTTGTCCGAAACCATCCTGGGCTGAATCTTTAAAGGTACGTTTGAGATAACAATGTACGCAATGTAAGATTTGTGATTAAATGTTTTTTTCTTGTAATTAAACAGATGATGGCGAGTACGACATTTTTGTTACAACTTCAAAACTATCCCAAGGATATTATAAATAATGAGATGGTTGAACATCTTGTACCATATTTCGAGATGGAAGATTACAATATGGATACAGCGAAACGAGTTTGCGGTGATGTTGCTGGCTTACTTTCTTGGACTAAAGCCATGGCTTTCTTTCATAGTGTTAATAAAGAAGTATTACCATTAAAAGCAAACCTCATGCTTCAAGAAGCAAGATTGAAGGTATGTTGTTAAATTAAAAATAAATCCTAGGTTAATTTTATTTTGTATCTTATTTAAGAATACAACAAAAAAAATTGCTTAATGTATATCATTATAGGTAGCTATGGATGATTTAGCATCAGCAGAAAGACAATTAGAAGAACGGGAGATGTCCCTAAGGAAGGTGAAAGAACAATATGAATCGGCCGTATCGGAGAAGCAACAACTGACAGATGCTGCTAACGTTTGTTTAAGAAAAATGACGGCTGCTACGGCACTTATAAATGGTCTCGGCGGTGAGAAAATTAGATGGACACAGCAGAGCAAAGATTTCAAAGAGCAATTGGGAAGATTAGTCGGAGATGTAGTTCTTGCAACGGGATTCTTATCTTACTGTGGACCATATAACCAGGAATTCAGGAATAGTCTTCTTAACACATGGATGGGAATACTGAAAAGCAAACAAATACCCGTCACGCATGATTTGAACATTACAAATATGTTAGTGGAAAATGCAACCATATCAGAATGGACGCTACAAGGACTTCCTAACGATGATTTATCGGTACAAAACGCTTTGATTGTCACTAAATCTAGTTCTTATCCTTTACTAGTAGATCCTCAAAGTCAAGGCAAAAATTGGATTAAAAACAAAGAAGGCTCAAATGAATTACAAATCACATCGTTGAATCATAAATATTTCAGGACTCATTTGGAAGATAGCCTATCACTCGGCAGACCTCTGCTCATAGAAGACGTTGGTGTGGAATTAGACCCAGTCATTGATAATGTTTTGGAAAAAAACTTTATAAAGTCCGGTTCGATAGAAAAAGTCATTGTAGGTGACAAAGAATGTGATGTGATGCCTGGATTCATGCTGTACATTACAACAAAATTACCTAATCCAGCATACTCACCTGAAATAAGTGCTAAAACTTCAATCATCGACTTCACAGTTACAATGCAAGGCTTGGAAGACCAACTACTAGGAAGAGTTATTCTCATGGAAAAATCTGATCTTGAAGAAGAAAGGGTGGCTCTATTCGAATCTGTTATGAAGAACCAAAGAAGTATGAAAGAGCTAGAAAGCAATTTGCTTTGTCGTTTAACTTCTTCTGAAGGCTCCCTAGTCGATGATGAAGCTTTGATTCAAGTATTACAGATAACCAAAACAACAGCCGAAGAAGTAAACGAAAAGTTGAAAGTCGCTGAAGTAACAGAAAAGAAAATAATTAAAGCCAGAGAAGAATTTAGAGCAGTGGCCGCCCGTGGATCCATTCTTTACTTCTTAATTGTAGAAATGAGCAATGTCAATTTAATGTACCAAAATTCACTGAAACAATTTCTTACTATATTCGACAATTCTATCACCAAATCTACAAAGAGTAATATTACAGAGGAACGTATCAATATTATATTGAAATATTTGACTCATGAGGTTTGGGCATTCACATTACGTAGTTTATATGAGCGACACAAGGCTTTGTTCACATTAATGTTGGCAATGAAGATTGATTACCAGCGTGAATTGATATCGCACGACGAATTTATGGCATTCATCAAAGGCGGAGCGTCTTTAGATTTGAACGCTGTTACTCCTAAGCCATTCAGGTGGATATTGGATATAACGTGGCTGAATTTGGTTGAAATTAGTAAACTGAAGACATTTTCGGACGTTCTCTCCAAGGTAACTTACAATGATATTGCTTATTTTTCTCAATTTATTGTTCAACTTGACTCGATTTCTATGCGCAGACTATATCGCTACCCAGAGATATCACATTATGAAAGCATTGCTCACCCTCAAACATAAAATTCATGAAGTTTCTATTAAATTGATACAACGTCGACGACATTTAAAATTGAACCGCTTACAGATTTCGACAAATGAGAAAGAATGGAGAGTGTGGTACGAAAAAGCCAAGCCAGAGGAAGAAATAATTCCTAGTGGATACAACGACAGCCTTGATGTTTTCCGAAAACTCCTGCTCATTAGATCCTGGAGTCCAGATCGAACTTTATCGCAAGCTCGAAAATACATTGTGGGTCTGTAAACAGTCTTATCGTCATGACAACAGATACAAAATACAAATTAATTCATTTTTTTAGAATTTGGAATGTTAATGTAAACTAAATCGTTATTTATATTGATATTGTTTAGATTCTTTGGGTCCGGAATATGGAGAAGGACGGATTTTAAACTTGGAGACAACATGGGAAGAATCAGAACCGAGGACGCCTTTGATTTGTATTCTTTCAATCGGCTCTGACCCCTCCACTCAAATTGCTTCACTAGCAAAATCGAAAGAAATAAGTAAGTAGTAACAATAAAATCTCATTAATTAATCAGGGATTTTTATTATGTCTTTTTTCGTTTCAGTTTTAAAAGCAGTATCGATGGGTCAAGGTCAAGAAATTGTTGCTAGAAAAATGATCTCGGATTCTATGAACGAAGGAGGATGGGTTCTGCTACAAAACATTCACTTATCATTGCCTTTCTGCGTCGAGGCCATGGATGCTCTGATTGAAACCGAACACATTCAAGAATCATTCAGATTATGGCTAACAACAGAAGTACATACAGAATTTCCAATTGGTCTGCTACAGATGGCCATTAAATTCACAAATGAACCGCCTCAAGGGATAAGAGCCAGTATGAAAAGAACATACCAGAATATAACTCAAGACACTTTAGACTACTCCTCCTTATCGCAGTGGCCACCGCTTTTATATGCTGTAGCATTTTTGCACACGATAGTACAGGAAAGAAGAAAATTTGGACCCTTAGGGTGGAACATTCCTTACGAATTCAACCAAGCAGACTACGCTGCAAGCGTTCAATTTATTCAGAACCATTTAGATGAAATCGACCCTAAGAAAGGGATATCATGGCCCACGATATGTTACATGCTCGGTGAGGTGCAGTACGGCGGGAGAGTGACAGACGATTTTGATAAACGTTTACTTACGACCTTCACAAACGTATGGTTTTGCGATGTTCTACTACGACCAGGTTTTGAATTCTACAAAGGCTACAAAGTCCCGCAAACAAGGAACTTACACGGATACGTCGATTATATAAATCAATTACCATTGACGGACACTCCGGAAGTATTCGGCTTACACGGCAACGCTGATATTACTTATCAAATCAATAGCGCTAAAGATATTCTCGATACAATATTGAACGTCCAACCAAAAGAAGGAGGCAGTCAGGGTGGTGAAACCAGGGAAAGTATTGTGTACCGTTTGGCTGAAGACATGCTTGAGAAATTACCAAAACAGTATGTGTCATTCGAAGTGCGCGAATCATTACAAAAAATGGGCGCGTTTCTTCCGATGAATATTTTTTTGAGGTGAGTTTAAAAAAGTTTTTAATACTTATACACATTATCAGTTCGTTTACAACACAATTAAACGCGCATGATGTTTTAGACAGGAGATCGATAGAATTCAACGCGTCATCAAGACTGTTCACTCGACACTCTGTGACTTGAAGCTAGCCATAGACGGCACCATAATCATGAGTCAAGGGTTACGTGAGTCCCTTGACGCGATGTACGATGCGAGGATCCCTCAAAATTGGTTAAAGGTTAGAAACACAAACGCTTCAGAGAAATTCGACCATAATCATGAATACTTAAAGATTTAGATTGAATTCAGGATTAATTACATTTATGCTGTTGTTTCGTTTTCAAGAAAATTATTTCCAAAATATTTTACTGATAATAGTGAAGCTCGTCGATAGCTACTAAACAAATTCATATTTATATATTGAAACTGTTTGAGGACTTGAACAAATACAGATAATTTGGTTTTTGATCAGAAAGTACGCCTTCGTAAATATTTAATTACTCCATGCTTAGCTGTATGGACGAGCTCACAGCCATCCTGGTGTTAAGTGGTTACTGGAGCCCATAGACATTTACAACGCAAATGCGCCACCCACCTTGAGATATAAGTTCGATAAGAATATAAGTTCAAGTATAGTTACAACAGCTGCCCTACCCTTCAAACCGAAACGCATTACTGCTTCACGGCAGAAATAGGCGGGGTGGTGGTACCCACCCGCGCGGATTCACAAGAGGTACCACCAGTAGTTACGCAAATTATAATTTTTACGGGTTTGATTTTATTACACGATGCCATTCCTGCACAGTGGAAGTTAATCGTGAACTTTTGTTAAGTACGTATTTCATTAGAAAAATTTGTACCGCCTGCGGGATTGGAACATCGTTGCATCGCTACATACGAATGCACCGAACGTCTTATCCTTTAGGCCACGACGATTAACCCCCGATTATTTCGTTGCTATATTCAGTTCATCTATTTCCCTATTTAACTAATACCTAGTCAGTGTTATTTTAAGCATCGGTAGTAGGGTATTGATATCAACTTTTATAAATATAGACTACGCTACCACTGTCGCTCTATATCACGTGTATTTCGATTAGGCTATTTTATTAGAGCGACTAACTACTCTTTGTCTTCCAAGCGACTCCTTTGTTAAGGTTTCATGGGAATCTGCTACTCTTGGTTTCTGGTATACGGAGCTGTTGGAACGGGAACAACAATACCGCATTTGGCTGAAGAATGGACGACCAAACGCTTTCTGGATGACCGGCTTCTTTAACCCTCAAGGCTTCCTCACCGCTATGAGACAGGTAATTGTCATTTAATAATAATACTTTTCCTCAAAAAGTAAATCTAGTCTACGTCTAGCCTAATTTCAAACAGAAAATTATTTTCAAATCTTTCAATAATTCTCTCAGCATATTTACACTACCCACCTTTTATACTAGTAAATAATATTTTAATTTTTAAACTTATACCTCTTATTATTAGAACTAGTGGCCGCCAAGTAGTCGAAATTCGACTATAATTATTGATTTAAATAATAAGTTTGAACATTGTTAAGGTTCTCTTGTCAAGGACTATACTTTTATGATCACAGATTTCGCCAAGGCTACTACTACAAGGCTATAGGTAACTATAATCTATTTGACCACAGACTTTAACGATAAACAAAAGAGGATATAAGCGTGTGTGTGTCAAATATATGGTAGTGTGTTATTTTTTTTTTATTGATTTACTGTATTTTTTTGTCATAATAAAAGAAATATAAACATCTGCACTCCTCTATATTATCTCTTTAAGCGCGTGAAAGGAGACTGAAACGATTACATACATTTTTGGGCCCGAATGTAACGTGATGAAACTAATATGAATTAATAGATTCAGATTTATCAGTACCTTGCTGAAAATTATAAAAGTTTTCTCAATCTGAGAGCCGAGTTAATAAATATTTAGTACAAGTTAGGTTATGTTACAATCTCTTTAAAAGAGCTGAATAATAACTTATTTAAGCATAAGTAAATGTTTATTATATCCATTGGATAATCTTTTAAATGTCATATTATGAATGAATATCAATGATATATATCAGGTATGGAATATGGAATTGCTATCCCACAATTCACACAGCGATCCATAATTTCAACAGTATCCAATGCAACAATTTCAAGTCAAACGTGTGAGCGATCTTCGGTGTCCAGTGTAGAAGCAATTGTCGTACAAGGCTGGCAGAGTTGGAATCCGTAATAATAAAGCAGTGATCGTTGAAAATATAAAAACAGCCCGATAGATACACACTCAAAATGCGTCGAAGATACAAAACGAGTAGAGCAGAAAAAACCAACAAGCGCCAAAAAATAATTGTATAATCTATGAACAAACGTCATGTCAGCTTACTGTCAAAGCTGTCATCAAAAATACAATCGATTTTAATCGATTTGAAATCGATAATCATATTACTTTGCTAAGTAATAATAGACTTTTTCTTCATTTATGTATATAATCGCAATTAAATCCGGTGTATACCGCACTTGTATACAACAAGTATAAATTGCTCATTTAATTACTTTGCATTAATTACCTAGTGCAATGTTTTTCTTTTTATAATCCTGTAATCGATTAATTAAATCGATCACACCGTTATACCGACAAAAACTAACTTTCTCATTTTTCTCCGGTCCCAGAAAGAGGATTGAGGTGATTTTTTATATTCTTATATAAAAAAATATGAAAAATTTTTTAGACTACATTCCAAGTTATTACATTTTTGGCCCACGATTTTCCGTCTCCTTTCATACTCCTGCGTTCGCGCATTTTTCGTAAAAGGGGTACAAAGCTTTTGCTTCACGTATTAATATCTAGATAACGTCTTATTATAAGAATTATTAGAGTAGCGTACTGTCATAACGTGGGTAAGCCTCCCGTAAGGTGCACCTACGAGTTGTGGAAGGTCTCTGGAACTCGCTAAATGCGGACAGCGCAAGATCGGTCGATATAGCGAGCCTTGGTGGTATACTAAATCCACCAATAGATGTATGTTGGCTGATAATAGAAGTAGGTATATTGCCATAAGTGAATGATCTCAAATACGCTTTCCCAGGAAGTAACACGAAGCCACAAAGGTTGGGCTTTAGACTCTGTCGTGCTTCAGAACCACATAACCAAATTAAATAAAGAAGATGTGCATGAAGGGCCAGCAGAAGGCGTCTACGTCTACGGTCTGTTTCTAGAAGGTAAATGTTGAAACTTTATTGTAATATAACAACATACAAGTACATACCTACTATAAAATGAAAACGTAATTATTCGGAGAAGTATCAAAATCAAACTACCTATATAATAAACTAGCCGTACTCGCCCGCTTAAAATTAACATTATTATTTATTGTCATTATTATTAGAGAGTCCAACACTCATATAAATATTAGACTATCCATTAACTACATATATTTTCTACATAGATACCAAGTTTCAAGTCATGGGATGCATGGTTCAGTGGTTATAACGGTTGCGGTAGGCAGCGGCTTGGCTCTGTCCCTGGCATTGCTGAAGTCCATGGGCGACGGTAACCACTCACCATCAGATGAGCCGTATGATCGTCTGCCTATAAGGGCAATAAAAAAAAAAACATCCGTAAAAACCACTGTAGATTTATATATTAGTATAGAAGTATAGATTAATTGCTAATTAAAGCAATAAAAATACAAGTATAGAACAATATATATCACAACCTAGCTTTATAGTTGTGGTTCGGCAGACCCGTTAATAAGGTTAACAGTCGCAACTGACTCAATTTCTATCGTGCCACAGTTCTCATAACCAGCGATAACCTCCTCGCGCAATATTATTTCTTAAAATAGCAATTTGACGAGAATAGTCCTGAACTTGTCTGATCGATAAGATCAAGTTCACTATTGCAATATTCAAGTTCGAGGCCAATTGAAAAGGTGGCGACGTAAGACTTAAGAAACTAGTACGATTTTTGCCATACATATTCAAATAAGCATTGCAAACATATTCGCTTGTGGTTGTTTCATTTTTTGGGACAGACGAAAAAGACGTTTCTATAAATTAAAGGAACTGTTGAAGGTAGATAATATCGTAGAGCAGCGCTAAGAAACATATGAACAGACTTTACCACTGGATATGTATTTAACTATGTGTATAATTGCAGGCGCCTCGCTGGACCGAAAATCTGGGAAACTGATCGAGTCTAAACCCAAAGTTCTATACGAACAGATGCCAGTAATCTATATATTCGCGATCAACACGACGGCTGGAAAAGATCCTAGACTCTACGAATGTCCTATATACAGAAAACCGCAGAGAACTGACGCCAAATATGTCGGGTCCATAGATTTTGAAACCGATAGTAATCCGCGACACTGGACCCTCAGAGGAGTAGCGTTGCTGTGTGATATCAAATAAATTCACGAATGTCACAAAACAATCCTCAATAAAATGTTTGCTTACATGGAAATATTTTTTGTTTTAAAATAGATCAATACTGTTTATTTTACAGTCTATTAACAAAAGTACAAGTATAGAAAATAACTTAAAGACGAGGCTTGTGGAGAGTATTAAACAGTAAGCAGCTTGGCCCTGCCCTGGCATTGCCGACGTCCATGGGCGACGGTAACCATTCACTATCAGATGGGCCGAATACTCGTCTCCCTACAAAGGCAATTAAAATAAACCTAGTCGATAGTATTCCGATAGTGAGTTGATTTTTTCTATTGCTTTTTTTTGTTACGGTATCACGTCTGACTACTACTCAACCGACCATGAAATTTTGCAGACAAGTTGTCAGGGGCGCAGAGAAAGGCATATGATTTCAATCAGTTTTATTTTCGAGAGATTACATACTTTTCCCAACTAGTTAGCTTAACAGCAAGTTTTTTCACCACTTGATAAAGGTACATCCACTGCAGCTAATTATCCGCACCCACATCCTACTACACAAGTAGGAATGGCTAGGTCGATATAATTAGGGCGAACTAAATGGGATATTGGCTGTATTTTTTTTTATAAAAATAGAAACCGTAATAAAATCTATAATACTTTTTTTATTTCATCATACAAGACAAGCACAAACGCTCCTCCCGTGCCTCTCAGGACATTCGAGAAGGCGCCCTTAAAGAAAGCACCGGCTCCCTCCGTTTTGAGGATGGTCGCCCAACAATGCGCCGTGCTCTTGTACTGGCGCTCATTGAGTGGTCGTCCGGACTGCATCATCATTCGACGACGGACAGTGTCCAAGGGATACGACGCAATACCGGCCACTGTAGTTACAGTCTGTTCAACACAAAATAAACTAGCCATTATGATGACCTTAATGACCTATTATATTAGGTTGGCCTATAATTTAATATGTAAACAAAATATCATTGAATTCAACGGTAATATTCCATAGTCGTAGTGGACGAGCTCACAACCAACTGCTGTTAGGTGGTTACTGGAGCCCATAGACATTTACAATGTAAATGCGCCACCCATTTTGAGATATAAGTTCTAAGATCTCAATATACAACGGCTGCCCCGCCCTTCAAACCGAAACGCATTACTGCTTCTCGGCAGAAATAGGTAGGGTGGTGGTACCTACCCGTGCGGACTCACAAGAGGTCCTACCACCAGTAAACTCCACAAGAAGTCCTACCACCACCAAGCTACATCGGAAGCTATTTCTTAATACCCCTGCAATGCTTTTCAACTAATTCGCAACTAGAACTGACCTGAGCAATCATCCAAGTAATAAGAAGCGATGTATTCTTAGGATCGGGTAACATGTCGCGCGCCGTATCAAAGCATCCGAAGTATGTGGCGCGGTAGATGATGATGCCCTGAACGGACACTACGAAGCCTCGATAAAGCCCCATAGGACCGTCGGACTTGAGTGTCTTGATCAGACAGTTCACCAGCCCTGTAAATTCCTTGTCCTTGCCCTTTCCCACGTCAGCTGCTAATCTGTAACACGTTAAACACACTCAAATTATTACTTAAGACGAATAAAATACTGTCAACCCTATTTAGCCGGTTTCATTTCCAACTCCGCATTCTGCCCTTTCTAAAGAAAGACCCATCCTTTTACAAAGTTTCCTCCTAAAACACGAATTTAAAAAAACGCCAGAAATTGCGAATAGAATATAAGGGAACGTACTCATACTACGTGACCCGTTTGGGGGGGGGGGCGGAGTCTTTAAAATACTACGGTCAGTCACAAGAGCGGGGGGGTGGCTCAGGTTTTTGTCACGTAGTCGATTTTAGTCAGAGAAATCTCGTAATTTTTCGACCTATATTCGAATATATCGCGCAGTGTTTAGCGCTTTGTAAACTCACACTACATAATTCACTAGTAATTTAAGTGTGTATGCAGTCTTATGCAATAAAGACGACTATGAACCAATTTTTTTTTTTTGCGTGTGAAATGATTAAAAATCATAATTATGAATTACTACGTGAAAACTAAAGGAGGAGAGGGGTGTCTTGGCATATACTACGAGTGATCACCGAGGGGAGAGAGAGGTCGAAAAAACTAACTTGGTCACGTAGTATGGGTACTTTCCCTAATAGAACTTAACTGTTCGTTATTTGTATAATGACATTTTATTGTGATTTTTGAAATTAATAATATTAGTGCTAAGTTTGTCTATGGGTTAATTGGCTCGACGAGCGAATTAACCCATAGACACAGCCCACTGAGTTTCTCGCCGGATCTTCTCAGTGGGTCGCGTTTCCGATCCGGTGATAGATTCTGCGAAGCATTGCTCTAGCTAGGACCAGCGTTAGCATCACTCCGGTTTGAGCCCCGTGAGCTCACCTACACGTTAGGGTGACGCTGAAATAGCCTCTATCCATACATAGCCTTAATCAGCAAAGGTAGGAAAAAAAAACTGGAAGGGTTGAATTGGTTGCCCATAGTATATCCAATAAACTGAGAGCAGTCTATATTTGGATTGTCACATTTCGCCACAGATAGTTGCATAGATGCATTTCCTTTTTTTGCATAGATGGATGACTGGACTCACGACCCATTTGGTATTAAGTGGCTACCGGGACCCTAAGGCTAGACTATGTGAATGCAGTCATCCAGCTTGGTACATGAGGTCTAAGTATGAATTGCACAGCTATAACGGCCGCGCCACCCTTCATACCAGAACGCATTACAGCTTCGTGGCAGAAATAACCAAAGCGTGGTGGCATCTACTCCTGCAGGCTCACAAAACACTACAATCCCTTGATCTTAGAATTTATTCGTGAGCATGTATTAAGTACGAATTTCTTTATAAAAATTATTAGTTCTCAGGGCGTCTAATCCATTACGTTCTTTTTTATTGCCTGAGCAGGCAGATGAGCATACGGCCCACCTGATGGTAAGTGGTTGCCATCCCTCATGGACGTCAGCAATGCCAAAGACAGAACCGAGCCGCTGCCTATCGCTGCCAAGCGCTGACTAGCCAACGACGCTAGTCAGGACGACCTACATTATTCTTCAAAATATGCACCATCAGCTATATTACCTTGTTCTAGCAAAATCCAACGGATATACGAAGCATAGCGATGTTGCTCCAGCAGCACCTCCTGAAGCTAAATTTCCAGCAAAATGACGCCAAAACTGCTTGTTCTTATCTACTCCCTCTAAAAATATGCCTTTGTACACGTCTTTGAAAGCAAAATTCAGCGCTTGTGTCGGAAAGTACCGTATTACGTTAGCCAAGTTTCCTCGCCAGAAAGACAAAAAACCTTGTTCTTTAGGTATTCGGACAATTGCGTCCACCATGCCTGTGAAATGATAAATGATAGATTTTAAATTAAAGAATTAATTCAATGCATTTCTTTTATGTGCATAAATGTAATTTCATTGAAAACATCAGATTTTTTTACCTTTATATCTTTTGTCTTCTGATATCTGTTTGGACACATGTTGAACTTGTAAAATAAGTTTAACTCTTTCAATTGGAGCAACTGCTGTTTTCGATATAGCAGCAGAAATTCCACCGGCTAAAAAATCTTTTAAAAAACCATAGCTTGCTTCATCCTCTTTCTTTGGACCCTTCTTTTTATCTTTATCCGACATTCTCTAAACACTGACCAATAAGAAATTACCCTAGAAAGAAGCTGAAATTAAATAAGGATAAAACTTCTCACACAACACCCATAGAATTATTTTGAATAAACTTACCACGGATTAATATCAGGGTTTAGGAGTGTCGGATGAAAGATTAAGCATTCTTCGAATTAAGCCACTGTTTAAAAATAATTTCAAGTCGATATTTCACCAAAAACTTAACTTATTGACACTTTCATTCAAACTGTCATCGTGCATCCGATGGGAGAAAATTTTAAATTCAGAATTTACCACAGGAAGTTTGCATGCACGTAGAGGATTTGTCAATTAATTAATTAAATTACGCTATTCAGGAACTTTAACTTTTGCATCTCACATTTCAGTGGACTAAGAATCGAGGAGAAATTGTTTCAATTCCTGGTTACGTCAAATTCATGCGATAATAAATTATTTGTCAACAAAATATGCACACACGTACGCTTATACAGACGAAAAGTTAAATGTATGGCTTTAAATTGTTTAAATCCTTACTTCTACGTATAAAATCGATTAAAACTTTTGAAATATCATGCTTTAATCACACGTTTCAAGTAAGAGTTCTTAGACCATTTTGCAATAGGTTAAAAGCCTCCTAGATTATGAATATTAAAATATTGATGAGTATTAAATGAATAAAATTACCTACCTACTTGTTCGTAACTGACAAACTGATGCATAAATTCCTAAGACAAACCTTTTTGTTAAAACCAAATAGTTCAACTCCATGCGTAATAGATGGCGATGTTATAATTTCCTGAATCGGGTTAAAAGCTAGTTTTTTTTCTGAATTTTAATCTTGGTACCTATATACGGAACGATATACGGAATCAAATCAACAAATATGGGTGGGTTCGCTAATTGCGCGATCACCTCCAAAGGAGGCCTAACAGTTCAAGGACAGCTGCTTGGCGAGTGATCGAGAGATCACGTAGGAGCCAATTATCGTCGAAGCCCTAGACACGTCTTTACGGATTCATCAGATTCAATAACCTTAGCATTAGACGCCTTCATCTCTAACACTGGGAGTAGGAATAAGTTTAGGGATCCTTGTAACCGTACTTGTCGAACTCTACAAAGAGACCGACGTGCAATCTAACCTAAACCCACTGAGTTCCTCGCCGGATCTTCTCAGCGGGTCGCGATTCCGATCCGGTAGTAGATTCATTGGCGAAGCAGCTGCTAGGTCTCCTTTGGAAACGCTCGGGCAGCTGTTAGCAAATCCCACCCCTCCTTGCTGAGCCCTTGCTCGCCCATCTGTCGCCACCAGTTATCTCTCAATCACAAAAAGTTCCAGTGAGGCCTAAGCGGGCTGTTATTGGCGAAGTTTCAAGTCGATGTCTTCTTAAGAGTACAGTGACCTGTATTATGGTTGCTCCTAGTTTTAAAGGTAGAAGCGTCCAAAAGCACTGGGAAGGGTGGATCGACATGGGCGTGTCTAAGACATCGACAGTAACAGGTCTGACGAAAGCAAAAGACGAAAGGTTGGCAATTTCAAAGTTAAGTGGGCTACGAGAGATCGATTATCCTCTTAAATAAGTGACAAAGACAAAGTAAACCAAATTAGTTTTGACATTTTATTGATTTTATTAATTTGCCTCAGATCAAGCTTACAGATATTATACATATGGGATGATATTCTAACAAGTTCACTCGACTAAACCTATTGTGTGACTTGGAATTGTTTAAAACAAAAATTCATCATTATTACAAAATAAATACTTTAGTAATATTTTATCGTCAAAATGTTGACTTTAAAGTTGACACTGCAATTACACGTGCTAATTTCGTTTCATTATAAAGTCAATTACATCTCTAAGCATCGATTAACAATTGCTGTGCCAACATTGGTACAAAAATCACAGTAAATCGTCATAATTAGAGAAATGCTAGTTAGTACTTATTATATACAGTAAAACCCGGATATTAATACTATTTTTTATTTATTTTATTGTTTAGATGGATGGACGAGCTCACAGCCCACCTGTTTGTTAAGTGGTTACTGGAGCCCAAAGACATTCACAACGTAAATACGCCACCCATCTTGAGGTATAAGTTCTAAGGTCTCAGTATAATTACAACGGCTATACTACTTATTATACTCCGATAGCGTGTCGAACAGACCTTGAAATGACATTCTAAGCAAAATCTTCAAAATTGTTTCGTCCGGGTTTAAATGTATCACAATTATTTCTCAAATGTATCAAATTGTATAAAACTTGCAAAATTTTCTATTACCATCAATAATTACATGTATCACAAAATTATTTATGTCACGTCCGCAAAAATTCAAATATATATTATAAATAAATATTAATATGCAAAAGTACATTACAGTATAGTGCCCATTAATGTAATGTAATAATTTTATTATTATCGTTATTATTGCTATAATTGTGTGCCAGTAAAAAACTACAAGACGTCGTTGCAAATTTAAAATCACCTATGTGACATTTTGGGCCAAAATTATGTTTTCATATATTATGAAAGTTATTTTGAATACTTAAACTCAGCAAAAACTCCCATATCCATATCTCAATATTTCACTTTATTACGCGTCAATCTTTAAAAATCCTTAGTGTCGGTTTGCATTTTATTTTAGATCAATTAGTATCCTATGTGCTAAAAAAATATTTGTTTAAATAATTTTTCAGGAGGTAGTTTTATTGGATTATGTTGAAAACTATTATATATTTATACGCATAGGAGATTTCAAATTTGCAACGACGTGTGCTTGCTGTACAGACGCGACAGCATAAACGCGAATACGAATATCAAAAACTACTAATACACAAGTAACAGCCTAGTTGGAAACTACGTCAAGGTAACAAAATGCAATAGGCATTTTTTACCAATTTCCGTAAACGTAATCCCTGCTGGCTAACCTTAACGGGAAGGTAGAAAAAAATATATTAATACTATATTTATCGATCTACTGCGGTTGCGATAACCTAAAATGATAGATTTCTTAGTAAGATATCTTTTTAATTTTATAATCAATACAGATAAATAACATTATAATCAAAATACCTGTTATCACATAATATTATGATGTCATGTAATTGTAATTAGAAATACCAATCGTCAATAGTTAATTTGAAAACTAGATCCTTTCTGAGAAAATATAACTCTTTTATTCCCTTTTAATTACAGAGTAACTAATAAATGTAGAATTATAATATGGTTATTGCAAAAGACAGCACACATAAACCAGCAAATTTGAATATATGAGGAAGAGAATGGCAAGGGCTGTTTGTATTTAATTTGTTTTTATCAGTTTTTTTTTGATATTTAGCTGCAGGAAAAGCCAGCAAGTATATTAAAGATACAGAGGCGACGTGGGTTAATTATACTATTGTGTAGTCACTATTTGCGTATTTTAGCGGCGCTATCCGCATTATCCTTCAATATCTTAGATTTCAGGTGATCTTTGTATTTGAGGATACCACCCTCCCATTTTGTGGTAGTACCGTTCTCACAGATCCAAATTTCATTCGCCACCTGTTAAAACAATTGTGGAATTGTTACAATGTCACTTGAAGAATAATTAATAACCAGGGATAAATCACAAACTTATCTCGACTCGAACTAGAATTTACTGTATTACGGGATATGTACAATAAAAAAAGCCCCTTGTATCTTAGTGGTATGATACATTCCGCTCAGACGAGCAACGTAATCGGGCTTGCTTGTTTTTTAAAGTAACGTAAAGTGCGGTCATGGATGCTCACAGTGAAATGTGAAATTTCAATATGCATACAACTGCACTTAAACAACTTCATAACAAGAAAGGCTTACACAAAGCTGAGAGACCGCATGGGTAGGTACCATCATCATACACACTTCTGCCGCAAAGCAGTCATACATTACAGTTTGATAGGTGGAACAGCCATTATACAAAATCATCTGAGACTTTAATCGGTCTTAAGGTAATTTTATATCCAATTAATTAAAAAAAAAATTATAACTAGGTACTTAATATTAGATGAACAGCAACTTATATTTTTTGGTCTAATGTATCTAATTCAATTACCAATTTTATTTTAGGTGAAGACCAGTGAGCGTCAGAATCCTCAGTACTATAATTTATATTCGGTATCGATTTTGATTGCCTCAAGGAAGGCAATATATAATATAGCAATACGAACCTGATTAATAAGTCTAAAGTCGTGACTAACGAGCACCATGCCACCGTCAAAGTCGTTAATGGCGTCTGCGAGTGCATCGATGGTTTCCATATCAAGATGGTTAGTGGGCTCGTCCAATAACAGCAGGTGCGGAGTCTGCCAGGCCAACCACGCGAATACAACACGACAACGCTGCCCGTCGGATAACTGACGCATGGGACACACCTGATCGAAATATATAATTAAAATCGTTGTCTTAAGTCTGCTCATGTAGGTACGAGTGAGCCCACAATGTGAGGCAAATCCAACCCGCCTATTTCAGACGTGAACCAGTAATGCGTTTCAGCTTGAATGGTGGGGCAGTCTTTGTACTATAAAAACTAAGACTTAGAATCTATGTCTCAAGATGAATGGAGGTATTTATGTGGTTGATGTCTATGTGCTCTGGTAACCAACTAACAACAGATGGGCCGTGAGCACAAATCTTGTACTGCAGCCAGACAAAAAATATATCTTGTTTGACCAATCGAAAATCTGTCATGCTAATTTCTAAAAGGGTTTATAGAATTCTGAACTTGCAATAATTTAGCACAGTATTTATCTCTTACAGACTACATTCCAGTGATTCCTCAGTGCTATGAACAGTATTTCTTCAAAGTTTCAAAAGAATCTTGAGCAATAAGCAGTAATAGCATATGGCATTACAGAAAGTACTCTGTCTAATATTTTCTGAACTAAAATTATAAATGTTCTCTCATAAATTAGAAAACTATGTAAATAATGATAGGTTATAGTTGCAATTTGTATAGAATTCGCTCACACTAAATTGATGTCGAACTTATCAGGAGTAAAATGACTACAATGAGTAGCTGACTAACAAAAAATACATGAATAACAAACCTGCTGCCTCCCAGTGAGACCATACCGACCGATGATTTTTCTCATTTCTTCGCGCTCACGAACCTCGGGAAACTCTTTCATCATGTAATCAAGTGGAGACAGATCGAGATCCAACAACTCGTGCAAGTGTTGGTGGTAACGACCAATACGAAGATGTGAGTTTTTACGGATCATACCAGTCGAAGGCACTAACTGTCAAACAATATAAATATCATCAACACTTGTAATGGGATTGTTTTTAATATAGGAATATAATAGCAGTTCAGATATGGCAGTGGGAATTCGTGTCCTGCTTATTTCAGTTTTTACCAATAGAGACCATTCAACTAACCATTTCCAGGCATTAAGGATAGGTTAGCTATATTACAAGACTTTTGACTTGTTCATCTGTAAAAGTGGACAGCGATGTGTATTTTATAGTCTATGGGCTCTGGTAGTTACTTAATAACATCAGCTAAACCATAAGTTTGTTTGTTGGTATGCTGCAACCAAAACACATGTACTTAAGTTATTTAATATATTACTCATAATTTTGAATATGTAAAGCACTTGAAACAATTTAAACACGTGAATTACAACGAACTTGATACTTACATCTCCATAAAGCAGCTTGAGTAGCGTTGACTTGCCTGCTCCATTGGGTCCAACCAAAGCAAGTCTTGTATCAAGGTCAATGCCAAATTCCAAATTCTTGTATATCCACGGCCCAGAATCAGTGTATCTGAATGATACATTCTGAAACAAAATACAAGCTGTACAGTAAAAATGTATTTGGATGTAAAAATAAATGATTATGTATTTTTTTATTAAAAACACTAAAGATATTTAATATCTAACAAAAAGTAGGAGAACATCTGTCGACAAACAGGAAAGATTATTTATTATAAAAAAAAGAACACAATATTCCTAACCTAAAAGTACATGTTATTATCCGCAACATGCTTCGTCAGAATAAATTGTCCCCCACACAATAAGAGGTTGTGGTACCAAAGCTGGTAAAGTCAATTAGTATTAACAATAAAAACCAGCCTAATAAACTAAAGGAACTTTATTCACACACATTGACAGACAGACACCTTAGTTTCCTAATATTATTTTAATTATTTAAGATTATGTTTGATTGTGTATTATTATGTAAGTATATTTTTATATTAATGCAAATTTATTTATAACATAAGACAAACTAATAGTGATTGTCAATATTAAAAAAAAGCGATTTGATGTCCCTGGATTCAAATCAACTGATTTTTCTTTATTGGCTTGTTTTGAAAAAACTAGGCTTTATAGTTATATACAGCTCTCGCCATGTTAGACAAATCACACATCTATAAATAAAGCAAATAGCATATAAAACTTTGTACCTGCACCATGATGACGGGTGGCGGTACTTTCCCACAAGACGGAAAGTAGAAATTGAGTATCTTGTCATCAACCACCTTCTCGGTGAGACCCTGTGCCACCATTTTGGCTAACGTCTTTTCTTTGGACTGTGCTTGACGCGCCAATTTGGCGGAACCATGACCGAATCTCGCTATGTAGTTCTGTGGAAAATTAATATTCATTGAAACCATATAATTAAATATACGTGGTATTTTTTTTTTCTTTCGAATTAGCACATAGGCTTTATTTTATTGCCCTCGTAGGCAGGCGAGCATACGGCCCACCTGATGGTGAGTGGTTACCGTCGCCCATGGACTTCAGCAATGCCAGGGGCAGAGGCAAGCCGCTGCCTACCGCTGCATTGTTTTGTGCATCGATGTGGTCTGATCATGTCTATTTTAGTTTAGGATAGGAGGTAACCAGCTATCTCAATGGCTCTAATTGCATATGAGTGACTATATTGCCTTCATGCGGATTGCCTCGTACGCTTTTTTGTGCAAAAAAAGCGTACATTGCATATTATTGTATAATAATATGCACATGGTTAATTGCGCTAATTATTCGGACATATCTGTTGATTAATAATTCAAGGATTGCCTCTTGTTTCTTGATAAGCAGTAAATTGTTTTCGTACTAGTTACTTTCAAGTTGTTACTGGCGACCAAAAAGAAACCGCAACGTGTATGCTGCCACCTATTTCGTGATATAAACTCGAATTGTTTTGTAACTGTTATACATGATTACAGGACTATTCGTTTGTACTTACTTTCATATGTGCAATCTGGTCTTGTTCCCAGTTGTACTGTTTCATCTGATTCTCTAGCAATTCCATGCGCGTCCTAACGAAGGCTTCATAGTTACCAGTGTAATACTTCAAACGGCGCTTACTCATATGAACGATATTCGTGCATACACCGTTCAAGAAGTCTTGCGAATGCGAGATCAACACTAAAATTCTTTTGTAGCTGTTGAAATAAACAAAAAAAATTACTACATAAAAAAATAAAACTTGTCACAAACTGCGAAGAGGCTTTACATTGGATTTACAAAACTAAAAAACAAAAAATGAATTTTACTGTTTAAGTTCTTCTTCAAGCCACACACAGGCGTCCAAATCGAGATGGTTTGTTGGCTCGTCCAGCAGCAGTAAGTGCGGCTTAACATATAGCGCTCGTGCCAGAGCTATACGCATACGCCAACCTATTCAGATAACAATGTAAATATATATTGAATTTAAACCAAAAGTAACATTCAGGATATAGGGGAGAAAAAAACGCCTACAAATTTAGAATTTAAATCAAGAGTAAATGAACGATAGATTGAGAACTATTTAGAATAAGAAAGATTAGATCGGTAGTTTAAAATAAACATAAAACAAACGCAAGATAAAACTGAACATAATTGACAGTACAAAAAAAATCATTCACACATCTAAATGCACTTAAGTAGAAATATTCAGTAACAAACCTCCGGAGAAGTCTTTCGTTGCCTTCTGCTGCATTTCCTTGGTGAAGCCAAGACCATGCAGGATATTAGCAGCACGCGCCTCTGCCGTGTCGGCGCTCAAATCGTCCAGACGATCGTATACATCCATCAATTGCTCCTGTGATTCTATACAAAAAACCATTTGGATAATTTAACATTTACTTAAACAACACTTTTTTGTTGAGACTAGATATTAATATGATTAACTTAATATTACTATTACAAGATTGCAGTAGTATAGTATGAATGCAACGGCATAGACAAATGGAAAGATTTTGGTGATTCATTACTAACCATCATCTTCACAGTGGGCTAGCATTTCTGCGAGCTTCTCGAGTTTGACTCTCTCCTCGTCAACCTCCATGACGCACTGAAGTGCAGTCTTATCTGAAGCAGGCATTTCTCGAGTCAGATGGAATATGTCAATGTGTTCCGGAATAGGAACCTCACGGCGTCCTAAGGCAGCAAGCAATGATGATTTTCCTGTTGTGAAAAAATTCCAATTATTGACTCATCAACATTGATTTTAACACATAAATCAGTTTGATACTGTTTCTTGATGACCTAGGTAGCAACTAGGAAATAAAACTCAATGTTAAGGAAAGCCATATTGAATAATTAGTTCTAACAATGTCACCTTGTGTTATAGTAAATCTATAGTCAAGTTGTAGTAAATATACCTGAACAATTTATATTGGTTCCCTTTAGTAATTTTATAATTATAGCAATGAACTAATATAGTAGTTCTTCCAGTTATATGTTATTACAATATGTTTATCAATATGCTACTACATAATAAATATTGTAATTCCTTTATTCTTAGAAAGCAATTAGAAACATCATATAATTTTGTCAAAATAGATTTTTGTATGATGATGGGTTATAAAAGTAGCATATAACTTTCAAGAACCACAGTAAAGCAAAAGATTTACATTTATAGATATTGTTTATAAAAAATATAAATAACATGTTGATTTAAGAAGAAAAAAAGGATAGTCTTATATCATACTACCTAAATAAATGGACATAGCTCATCTGTGACCACAAAAACTGTAAGTTATACGAAACATAGTAAAAAAAGAATTACAATACAAAACACGAAATATAACCTCATTTCTCGCAACTAAAGGTATATCTTTTTCTTCAATTCATATAACGCATAGGGAATCTTTGGTATCATCTTTAACAGTATATTTACAATCTTCTGATTATAAGAAACTATCAGTGTAATCTTCGATATTATATAACATTTAGTTGTCTTGGTTACAGAACATTACCTAGGTACCCTAAATTACAAAATTGCAAAACTGGAGAGAACTCGTAATATCTTGATTTTATTCATAAAACTGCAACAATAATTCCACAGGGCTGATTTTTAGATAAATTCATTGTCATGAATGAACTTCTTATGAAATAGTATCAAAATATGCTTCTGCCCTTTTCATGGGTATACTCTGCTTAACCTCTAAGGCTATTAGATTTGCCAATTTTAAGAAAAATAATACATACCACACCCATTAAGTCCGACTAGCCCATATCTTCGCCCACAATTCAACTCCAGGAGAGTATCTTGAAGTAGCTCACTCCCATAGAAAGTAATTGAAAAGTTAGCTATCTTGATATCTCTAGAACGAGGGTGCACAGCCAGTGACCCAGTACAAGAACGAGCTTCAGAATTCATTTTCGCTTCAGCTTCTAGCTTAAGGCACAATGCCTCTGCAATACAAAAAAGTTTTAAGTATGATAGTAAAAACTAGAGTTTACTGACACCTTGTTAATTTCAACATTTTTTTATTAACCCATCACTCACTACATCATCAGTATCCTTAAGACATCACCTGCTCCTAACTATAAGTAGACAGAGGTCTTTGCAAACAAAAACATTCATCAAAAGATATATGTATTTGCCAAAATAATTATATTTATAATTATATTGCATATTATAGATAAATTTCTGGGTAAAATTAGAAACAACCCTGACATCCAGAGTTGTAATGTTAATATTGAGTTGACACATAGCTTTAAAAAAAACATGACAATAAAGACCTAGTGTTTGAAACGATGAGCATTATTGTGAGACTGCAATAGCTTAAATGACATTTATCTAAATGGAGTCAAATGGGAATGGGTGGCACCTATGAACCGTCAAGTAAGAGAGAAGTACTCCACATGAAGCCGAATCTGTGTTTTGTAAAGAATAAGTATTTGACCAGCATTCAATCAAGCACTCATAAATTACACTATTGGACTCATTTTGGATACAACTTCCAAATGACAAGTATGCAAACTATTAAACCTTAGAATACTTACACTCAAAATTTTGTAAAGTTACTATTTATTGCTAAAACGCCTTCAAGATAGGCACCAAGATAAATTTAATACTTTCTTAGAGGATAATTGTAATATACATGAAAATCCGAACTTTGTTATAATAAAGTAGACAAAAACATAAATGTTGTTGTGAGTAATATACACCACATAAAATATACATATAAATATAAAACATTAATAAATCATTACTAAACCAATCTAATATGTTTTTATTGACAAACATTTGCATCAAGACACAAAGGATGTAGCCGATTGTAGCCTATTTCACCTAGGGTCAAGAACGGAAGACGCTCATCTATCTATCACCTTCACTGTAATTTGATTGTTTGAAAATGCAATATCCTTACTATAAGTATGGATATTTCACTGCTTGAAAATACAACACATTCAGTCATAACAGAATTAATGTCAGTTTACAGTCAAATTATGTCTTCTAAACAATACCGCATTATGTAGCCTTATATGTATTTAACTTAGTTTGGAAATTTTAACTTCAATTGTGCTGTGTAATCCAGTAATGTGAGAAAAATATTTCATACTGAAAATAAAATCTTATGCTATATATCAAGTATGAAAGATTATTTGATTTCAGATTGTGTTAATATAATAAGTAACATTTTAAATTGTACCTTTTAACATTGGTAAATTTGTATTAAATCCATTAGTGTTATACTGATATAATAATACTAGCGGACCCGACATATGTTGTCCTGCAAAAATTAATTCAAGTCGATCCAACCGTTTAGTTATAGCATAGATAAATAACCTAGATACCGACTGCCGCGCCATCTGCCGGGCAGATTTGTGAATCTAAACCATCCAGAGTGCCACCCAAACAAATACAAAAAAAATCATTTAAATCGGTCCAGCCGTTTAGGAGGAGTTCAGGGACAAACACACAAACAGAAGAAATATATGTATAAAGAAGCTCATGCTAATGCAAATACATCGATACTCAAGAAACAGTTAAAGGCATTTATCATCTTGTGGCTGAAACCTTATCCTGCAAGCTATATAAAGGCAGAGCACTACCTAATTTAATTCAAGAACTTGTATTAAATCAATAGCTAAGGAAGGTTTTAAAACAGATTACGATTTATCTTTAATAAATCAATGACCACAATGCCTACCGGGGCAATGATAGATTAATAAATAGATTAGCAAGAAACAGTTCAAACATGTCAAATGTATCTATTCGATAGCATTCAAAAACAATAACATTTACACTGAACAAGATTGGATCTATAAAAGTCAATGGTAAATTAAAAAAAATACAGCTACAGATTATATAGAGGATAGCTAGCCCTTGTTACTTATCATGGTACTTTTAACAAACATCTACAACTAACATCTTTTGTAAGTATGCAGGGGTTGCAAACTACTGTGAGGAATACTTTGGTCACTGCCTGAAAGCCATAACTTTTGGTACTAATTAAAATGAAGTGGCAAGTGCTAGAATTTCAACCATTTGCACAGTATAGTGCTTTTATGTCGTGTTGCTGAGATGAGCTTGTTCTCATCGTCTTATCAAGTTTCTTCAGGGTTAGGGGAGTATATTGAAAGATGAGGTTAGCAATCCTCGACAAAAAACCAAAATTTAACCTCATGTCTCTTAAAATTATGAATCATGGTTATTTGAAAACAGTACTTTTGTTGGCTCTGGTCTGTATTACTTAATCTTACAATGACTAAAATGTCTAAATTACCAAACTATAACCAATAATAGTTCTTAAAGCATTTTATACTACTGTTAAAATATTACAAAATCTAAGCTCGCATTATGGTATGGTAGTGATGAAAATTGTCACAATCTTGCCAGCAACAATTACAGTTTCCATTCACTAATTTCGTCAGTAAAGCTATTGCAATTCTCTTAACAATCTGATTGCACATAATTTATGAAATGAAGTCTGAACTGTATTCCTAAAAAAAATAAGCTTGTTGATTATATAAAATAAAAGTATGTGTTGATACATAATCTGTCCAAAAAGGTGAGATATATTTTTTATTATATACTTTGTTCTATTATAAAGAACATTAACACAAATTTTATGTATTATGTTCACAGCAATTAGTTCACAATAAAGAAAACACGAAAATAGTTAGAAGTTGATACATATTAAAAGAGCATATGACCTAGGTATAAAAAATACAAGCATTGAACAGGTTCCTCGCATTGTCAAATAATATTACCTTCTGCCGTCAGCTCACGGTCTTCCCTGGATATACCATTAGTTCCGATACCATTTTCGTCTTCGTTCGTCACACGAACCACCGGCTTCTTGTTTCTGCCGCTAGCTTGCTCCTTCTTCTTCTGCTGAGCCCTTTTCTTCGCGTCCGACGGCATCCTTAGGCCTGCAATACAAATTTTCCACTTTTTTCAGTTCAGCGACAAAAGGAAAATCACGAAAAAATGACACAACACCTCCAACAAAATAAGTTGCTTATGTTTACTAAACATTATTAAATCGGGAATTAATCAATGAGCGATATTTACCTAACTATATTTTAAGATAAATCGGGCGTCCTCTTTTCTACACGTGCTGCATTGAAAAGAAAGATATATTCAAAATCACAGAGTACTTCAGTCAGAATAGAGTAGTTCTTGACATCATTTTCAACTCGTACGTCGTCATACACCATAGACAATATATTTCTCAGAACTTTGACGCTATGGCGCTAAGTATGAAAAATGTCCGATCAGAAATTATGAAATTTAGTTCACTTGTGCTTGCTGGAATGACCCTACTACTAATTTGAGTATTTCTATGGAATTAAGCCACGATGGTGATGCATACTTATACTTAAATACTTTAAAAATAGAATCAATGGCATTGTGGCGTTCAAGAACGCACCTTTTTATGATGCGTAAGCCGGAACGCACGAGATGTGGGAAAAAGAATATAGTCTGTGACACGGGACCTTTTTACCGCCAAATTTTTAAAACGTAAAAATAATTTATAATGTGTTAAATAACTAATATAATGCAATTACTTATAATTATTTATGCCGCTACAACAATAAAATTTATATTGTTCCAACTGTGGTGTTAATTACATAAAACACGACTTTACGGCGAAATAAAGAAGGGACTCTATATCAACTCCCTCAGCATAATTGACTCCGGATTCAAGCTCTGAGGTTGATTACCTTTCAAACAATTTCAATGGTCCGAATGTGCCTTGTGAGATCCTACTGTGTTTCATAGAAAACAATTTATTTTACCAATAAATATATTTGAAACCAATATCCATTAAATATATATAATAAGCGGATGATGATATTGCTCGGTAGACCGACGGTCCGAATGTTGTTGTTCGGAACTTGTATATATATGCGCTTTATCTTGAAAATGTCGTAAGCGAGATTCAGGCATCTGTCAGTTATCTTGCGTTGTATGATGGCTACCCGCCACATCACTCCCCTCCGAGACTGGAGGTCGTGTCATTTTTAGTTAACGTTGTCCGCGCTGAGATTAGCTTGCAAGGGCCAGTGCTGCTCGAAGCCTGCGGTGAGTCGAGGCTGAGCTTGAATGCTGCGTTCGTGTCGCCAGTGCTGCTCGAAGTTTACAGTGAGTCGAAACTGAGCTGAATGCTGCGTGATTGTCGCCAGTGCTGCTCGAAGTCTGCGGTGAGTCGAGACTGAGCTTGAATGTTGAGTGCGTGTCGTGCGTAGTCCATGTTATGCAGAGCTGCCACGCCGGAGATGTGTAACCCCAAGCGTTGATGATCCGGTCGTGGGCTGCGATGAACTGTAGCGGCGTGATGAGGCAGTGAAGTTGCATGCCGTAGGACCAGGAAGCGCGGTGAGTCGGCTGCGATGGTCCTGTTGAGGCTGCGATGCTGGCTTGCTGTGGAACGACTGTCAATGACGTGCTTTTATCTGCGAGAATGCGGGGATTGTGGTAGCCGAAGTTCTTGATGCGCTGATGATGAATCAGAAGGTTGCGTGTTCAAATCTTAAATATTATTAAAAAAATATAACGATTACCATCATTCCTTATTCGCTTTGCTAGCATGGGATGCAGTAGATACGTTAATTCATAGTTTTTGTTCATTAAATAAACATATATGAATATGTGCTCAAAAGTGAATAAGGAATGGGGCAGTAATCAAATGGTAAAAATAAAAATAGGCTACAAAAGAAATATTAATGTGTCCACTTGCATTTCTACACTATCATCATGAAATTTAAAAAATCGATTCTATGTTGAAATTTCAGCAATATAATGTTCTTGTTGATAAAAATGTGATTAGTAGATTTTGTACCTATTTAGACGCAAATATTGTTCCAATATTAACTCTTTTTACTACTACATGTACGAGTGTATCTGGGTGGGCCGAAATAGTTTATATTATTATAATTTAAAAGTCAAACTATTTGAAATTTTTTTCTTGATTCATAATGGACTAGAAGACTAGTAATTGGAAATGTCTTTGGGGATTCAGCGGTAGCTTATTACAGGGGTAATGATGAAAAAAATTTACTTATATAGTTTCATTTGCGCGGTTTTTTAGGCCCTTAAATATGCATAGGTAGTTTAAAGTTTTAAAACAATTGTTTTGCAACGATACCGCAATATAATATTTTCGCATTAACCTTATAGGGTAAAAATATTCGTTAGATATTAAATCTGTTACATTAACTCTAAATAGAAATTTCTTTTGTCTCCAAACTTTGATGATGGGCACCTTTTAACGGAATAAGAAAATAAATTAAAAACGATCTCTTTTTTTATATAGTTGTGCAATTACTAATCAGAAGTGTTACTTTTTTTTCGGGCCGGGGGCCTAAGCCCCTACGAGGTCCCCGCACCTAGGGAACGCGCGGGGTATGTGGCACTTGACGATCTGCAAGGTGTTGGAAGCAGACCGCGAGCCCAAGGAATTTTAGGGCCCTACCGCAATAAACGACTCCCCTGCACTCTTACACCCGACGTTCGATCTCCGTCCGGGGTCAGAACCCGGTTAGAGTATGGCGGTTCCCGCGGTTAACACTACAACCAGACACGCGGGCGGCGCTACCCCGAGAACGCCCGATCCATAGATTATACACTTAATGGCCCGATCGACGGCTCGTCGAAGCAAGGCAGCGATGGTCGGCGACCAACGACGCCGATCTTCGCAATACAGCGGCCCTACCAGGCCGCCCGGGCAATGCCGCTGGTGTTCTGGAATACCCCGCTGGGCCAGAACCAGCCTACCGGGTTATGGACGAGCATAGTGATGCGCATTGTTGTTGTCGATAAGCGTTATCGATAGTGTATTTAGTTTTGTCATTTTGTGGGTTAGTGATTAAAATGAAAGAAAAAATCACTAATCGAACACCTACATTACATATCGCCGCAGCAAGTTAACGAGAACGGCAGAAATTAACACTTTGTAACTTTTCGGGATCTATTCTTATTTCAGCTAATAATTTTAACACATTGTTGATAACAACACGTGCAAATATTATTTTGAATGAATTCTGCCGTTTTGATACAAAACAAAGGAGTAGCCATTGTGTCACTAAAGAAATTCAGAGAACGAATGCATAAAAACACATTTATCTTCGACATAATGTATTATAATTTGCAGGTAAGTACAAATGACTCATAACATAACAACAATGTCTCACCACCCTTCGTATACCACCCCGCAGCCGTGTACCTGCCTTCGATGACTCATTTGTTTTTATCGATAATGGCGTTGCGCCCGTGCAACATGCTCACCGCCCTAGCCGGGCTATGTTTTATGACCCAAACTGCACGGACAAAATAACTCTACTATAGGTCTTTATTTCTGTGTTCTTAATATTCTCATCTAAAAATGTTTTTTTCTTAAAGCAACAACTGGGACTTTTCATGAAATGAAACATCTTTAATAATATGAGTTTAAACTTTATTTTCTTCAATAAAATATCAACGAACAATAATTCAGTGATATTTAACAGAAAATATTTCACTAATAAAATATGCAAGCGCAAAAAGTACACAACTTTTTCATATTATTTATTGTAAGGCATAATATTCTAAAGACGGTAAGGTTAATTTTATAATTTGAATCAATAATTATACCTATAATCGAATTAGGTAATGAGGATGTCCCTTGAGTCTGCAGGAAATAAAATAACTAAGATGTTTTTTTTTAAAGCACAACATTTATTCAGTTTTATATTAAAAACTACAGGCCACCTTTTTAATTTAAAAGAAATCATCTATTGTATTTGTCCTACAAGACTCAAGAAACATACAATGACTATTTGTTTAAGTACAAAGTTTTATACATCGAAATTTGAATATTTTTTCATCATTTTGTCATAGCTGAAAATATTTCAAAGTGGACAGAAAATTTGTGGTAATTATTCATCTATATAGTTAAATCTTTACTTATCTACGGACAATATTACTTCTCGGATATAATCCTAACAAATTACTTACTTTGAACTTTTGTGTTGACATTGGCAGATTAAAAAAACCACTGCCTTCTATAATTTCACATTGTAAGTTGGCTATTAAAATATAATCTATTGGAATAACAAATTTTAGTCGAGATTCATTATCTAAAATCTAAAATCATGTTTATAAAACACGATAAAATATATTATTATGATCTTTCAAATTGCTTTAATTTTTCAATCACACTTTTACTCTAAACGCGGTAATGAGGCTAGAAGGAAGATACGTCTTTTATAATACATTATAATAATATCATGAACTATTTATAGTAGTAATTGCCTAACAAGGTACATAAATAACTAATTTAAAGGCATTTGACATAACTATATAATATATTTTTAAATAGATTAATAGACATTGGAATTTAAACTTTTTATTAAATATTTTTAACAGGTGGATGGGATCACTAGTTCACTGGTTGAACTACGTTCCGTTACCTTATTTTGTATTTTTATTAGATTTTTTAAATATTTTTTTTAGGTTTATTATAATGATAAGAGAGCAGAAAAGCAGATGATCTGATCAATAGAAATAGAAAGACAGTAGAAGGTAGATCGAAGATTTTATATATGTCGTAATAGGATTTATTATTGATTAACAGTAATTATCATTGATTTAATTGAAATTACTAAACTAATTTTTTCTAGATACATTTTAAAAGCACGAACCCTTCCGTATATTAAACTTTGCATTTTACTATAACATGTTAATACATATAATTATTATTGCTGTAGACATAAATATCAATTAATTTTAATTTATTTTTATATATAAATCTGTATGTATTGCGATTATAAATATTTTTTCAAAATATATTCCACTATAATATGTATATAATATACTAATTTTATTAATTCTTACTATAACACATGTCAGTAGCACTCGATTAAGAAATAGTATTGAAGAATTCAAGCATATTAATCAATTGAAATACAAATTAAAAATGCAGCCTTTTCAACGATCAGCCGTACGAGAATGCAATTGTAGATTTTTCTATTTTTTTTTTAATTGATTACCTCATGTGTACAAAAGGCAAGGAGCTCACACATTGACAATTAAATAAAGTAGTCACGAACATCACGCTTATACTATCACAGCTCCCTTAAATCAACCACTTACATACCTAAATCCTAACCAAAAGAAAAGGTAAACAAAATAAAAAGAAAACATTAAAAAAATGCATAATTTATTATAATCACAGATGCTCGTCCTGTCACGTTTTGACCAACTATTAACACCAGGCTCAAAATTTTAACAAAGTCGCAACCAATTGTTCACTTCAACACAATTTATTTTAAATGTCAAGCTTATAAATATAACAAGTGTCAGATTTTTCTTTACATATCAATACTTAAAATGGAACATTACAATAACAAAATAAATTAATAGACAAATAACGCACGAGAGCTATGGTACAAACGAGCTAAGAAAACGTGAACGCTGCAACCAATAATTGACCGGTCTGGGCCTGACCGATAAGTCCATTGCGAACAAACTTGCATTTATTTTCATAATTTTCAACGCCATTTCGTACTTTCCACGGGGTAACTTACAACGTATTCACGACCACAAATCAAAAACACGGCTTGGAAATAAAGTTCACATTCGCATATAAGCTGCTACAGCGTACACGTTTTCTTTTATCGTAAAACAAATGCATGGCAACGCTTTTAGTTCAGGATGTGATGTGTGTGTGTGTGTAAATAAATAACTGCGAGAGAGTGTGTTGACCGCGGGCGTTCCCCGCCCGGCGGTGTCGTGTCGTGTCGTGTCGTTGTCGTGTCTGTGACGTGTCGTCCGCGTGTCCGCGAACTGTCGTCAGCCACAAACACGGTCCGCAACCTGATCACGTCATGTTCACGCCGAGAGACCGACTCGCGTACTCGTACACGACGTACGAAATCGAGACGGCCGGAATCACTTTGATGAAGTTCGGTGTGATGCCGCGGTACAGGCCACGGATGCCCTCGCGTTGAACGATCTCTCTGAACACGCCTCTCATTGTACCCTCCGCGCCTCTCGCTGCATTTTCTGGAAAATTGATCAAATCTATATACATATTTCGGTGTTGTTAATTTTTTTCGAGATGATACCGACAAATTGATACCAATGGCAAAGAAGTCGTTTCAACAAACAGTGTGCTTAGTGCGAGTTTTTTAACGTTCTCGATATATATTTTTTCCTACCTATGCTGATAGCCTTGAGAGGCTATTTCAGATTCGCCCTAACGTGTGTAGCTCACGGGGCTCAAACCGGAGTGTTGGTAACACTGACCCTAGCAAGAGCAATGCTTCGCAGAATCTACCACCGAATCGAAAACGCGACCCACTGAGAAGATCCGGCGAGAAACTCAGTGGGCTGTGTATGTGGGCTAATTCGCTCGTCGAGCCCGTCGTCGCAAGCGACGGGTTCGACGAGTACGGTGACCGGACTCGATAGTGTTAAGCCAATTATGTATGCAGTTGGAACAGCGCCCCTAACGGCAAACGTAGGCAAACGATCCCATTCCATACAAATATGAGCTAACTTTTACGCTATCGAGAACGTTAAAGAGCTCGCACTAAGTACACAGATATGTTGATTATTAATACGAAGAGTGGCAAGGTAAGGCAGTACAATACAAGTAGTACATAAATGTGTTGAAAGTTCAGTCGAAATAATTCGTGACAGAAGAAGATAATGGGTGCCCTTTGGTCGCAATAGATAATTAAATAATCCGAGACTATTATAATAAAACGCGTAAAATCATTACGCAACAGTTTTTTTTATTTTCTACAAGATTCGTTTAGAGTACGATCTCAAAGTCCAATTTACATTTAGTAATTAACTGATTTAAAAAAATACCTAGACACTAGAACGATATTCACCGTCAGACATAATATTGAAGCCTCAATTTCAATGACAAACTATCCAATCCATTTGAGGAAAATGGGAATGCATAATTTCTTCGCGGTTTAATCAGATTGGCGATACGAGCTAGTGATGCCTTACAACACGGGGGGTATTAGAGATATGAAGTTGCCTGCTGATTATGGCTTGCAAAACATAGATTAAAACGATAATCGGAATTTAAAAAAAATAGTTTCCAAATCGTTCAATAATTAATATAAATTTTATTAAGCAGTATCTAACCCTAAAATGTCACTGCCAATTGTTCAGGGGAATAAAGTTTTATTAAATAAACTGAATGTCAGAAATATAAGTGTGGTAGCAAAATGTGGTCTGGACCGCACTTAATCACATTACTATCTCGTAATTTTTAGTTTGAAAGACTAAAATCTTCCGACACAGACTATTTTAAATGCTAATAAACAAGTCCGTATGGGGTATCATATAAGTTAATACTAAAGAGTATACTATGATATTAGGCAAAATAAAAATATTAACGCAACTAAATCGAAAACAAACACCGCTTTTTTCCAGTGCGCAAAATGTTGTAAAATTCTAGATCCCTCATTTGTTTTGTGAATATGCCCGCAAATACTTCTTATGACTATTTTTAATTGTGATTAAAAACATTTATCGTATTATAACAATGTTATGTTAGAGCTTTCGAGTACGTTCCCCTTTTAAATATACGTATTTTTTTTTGCTTCTATTTAAATATCAATCGTTAGTGGTAGCTGTAGTAGGTATGTCATCAAGTCTCAAAAGACGCGTAGTTTTCGTTTGACTTTTATAGTACATCAATAACCTTTCTTGATAAATACCTTTTATTTATTCTTTGTGATAATTTTGTTTTTAACTAAAGACGCGACCAGCCGTCATAACAACGGAACTAAGCGTTTTATGGTCTAAGATTCTTTTTCTGTGTGTTATTTATTGTTCTAGTTTTTCAGTTTGAGCTGCACAAATAAGGGTCATTAACGTATTAAACTATATCTCACGAGCGAAAGTAAGTCTATTGCGCTATATCAATGCTATTTTTGTTTATTACAAAGCTGATATCAGAAAGGTATCAGAGCATGATTATGAATTTCTATATAATAATATAGCGTCAACTATATTTTATAGAAATCTTATCGAGGAGTGTTTTAAATACATAAAAAAATATCACGGTATTGTATGTACACGTAGGTGTAGGCGAATCTAAATTACCGATTTTGTAAATTCCTTTGATCTTTAGTTCCAACATCATGCAAAAAATACAGGACCTGATTTAATGAAACCTTTTTGTGTATTAGACATACTTTTTTCCCTTACTAAGGAACTACAAAGGTTATGCCAGCGTAACCGAAGGACTTCCTTTCAGAGGCGGCTTTACCTATGGTTCAGGGTGCGCGTTTCACTTGGACGCAATGGATTTAGAGGGCGTCGACCTCGGCACTTTTAACGAACCTGTTATACAGTAGTAGGTATTTCATTTTGAAGGCGCGCTAACTAGAAGACGCTAGGGTGAAGATTGCACGCGGGCGCTACATGTGCCAGAGACGCCTTTGCTTACTTTATTTTGCTTATAAGGCACATATCGCTCACTTAACAATGATTAAACTTGAAAATCTCTTGTTTTTACAATTAAATTAGCCAGTGATAAAGCTCCGGTTTCAACTATATGCCTTGATTCCGGGTTTGGTAATACTGGTACGCCTGTTGTCCTCACAAATCACTAACGCTACTGATATGAATAATTGACAAACCTCGTGCCTGCAGTCTGGTCCTGACTAGCGCGAGCGGGTAGGAGCACACCTGCCCCAGCGTGCACGAGATACTGCCACACGCTAGCAGCAGCAAGATACCCGGCTGCTCGTTGTGCGCCTGATATTTACTAATGTATTTCTTCTTCAACGTTTCGTAAACCGCCAGGTCGATGCCCGCATAGGGTACGATCCCCAGTATGTTTGGAATGTATCCCTTGTAGAAGCACCGGAGACCCTCCCTTGCGTATATCTTCCTGGCGGCGTCAGCTATGCCGCTGTACTGCCCTGTTTTCCTTAACGCTAATCTCGTCTTTAGCACCTCTAGTGGGTAGATCACAGTTTGGCTGATCGCCCCGGCCGTCGCGCCGGCTATGAACCTCTCGTGTATCTCCAACGGGTGGTTACTCCTCTCCCCTTTGATTAGCCTTTTAACTTGTTCATAAGCCGCGAACTTGATCGCCGATTCCGGAGCGATTTTGATTACATTAATTCCGTTCCCCCTCCACATTCCGGTTATACCACCTTCGTTTAACATTTTCGCTAAGCATTTTCTCATATTTTCTCTAGTTGTGTTCACCTAGAAAACGCAAAATCAAACTTATAAACTGTCGAATTGCAGCTCTACTTTGACTGAAAACAATTCAATAAAAATCCAAACGAATTAACGTTCGTTACCAAAGAAAATTTTACATTGCCTTTATTGAAGAGCGAAATTTTATTCAGTTTTCTAATTGACTCCGGTCACCGCGGGCAAACGTTAATGTGTTTTGTCTAATTTAATAAACAGGCCAATAGGTATTGGTCGTCTGAATTCTTCCCATTTGCAAGCCATCACTGTCGTTTATTTGGCAAGGGCCTGTTTCCGGAGAGGCAAAATTGCTATTTGTATTTATAATACATTACCATCTTCCGCGAGGTTAATTAAATTTAAGATAGATAAGTATTACACATATATTTGTACAATCAGCCTCATAACCGTGTCAACGGTTTTAAATCTATGAATTAAGACTTTAATAATACACAGACTTTATGCTACACAATATTGTAATTTTACTCAGCACAGGATCCAACTGAGATGTATTATTTTCTTTACATAAATCATCTGATATTGACAAGAAGATTTTTTTTTTTGCTTAGTGGGTGGTCGAGCTCACAGCCCACCTAGTCTACCGGAGCCCATAGACACCTACAACGTAAATGCGCCACCCACCTTGAGATATGAGTTCTAAGGTATATCAGTATAGTTACAACGTCTACCCGCCCCTTCAAACCTAAACGCATTACTTCAGGGCAGAAATAAGCATGGTGGTGGTACCTACCCGTGCGGACTGACAAGACGTCCTACTACCAGTAATTACGTAAATTATAATTTTGCGAGTTTAATTTTTTTTACGCGATGGTATTGCTTCACTGTGGAAGTAAATCGTTGAACAGTTCTTAAATACGTATTTCATTAAGACAATTGGTACGTGCCAGCGGGATTCGAACACCGTTTTTTTTTTCCTACCTAAGCTGATAGCCTTGAGATACTATTTCAGCGTAACCTTAACTAGTAGGTGAGCTCACGGGATTGATGCTAACACTGACCCTAGCAAGAGCAGTGCTTCGCAGAATCTACTATCGGATCGGAAACGCGACCCCGAGAAGATCCGGCGAGAAACTCGGTGGACTGTGTCTATGGGTTAATTCGCTCGTCGAGCCCTTCGTCGCAAGCGACGGGTTCGACGAGGACGGTGACCGGTGCTTGTGGTACCTAAAAGCACCGTTAATGGATCGGGAGCATCAGTAATGACGTGTTTTAGAGGCTTGCATCGCTAGATACGAATGCACCGGATGTCTTATCCTTTAGGCCACGACGATTTCAATTTAATAAGACAGACGGAACCTACTTGTAAAAACACTTTTAGTCTGTCCAGTGGAGCCGTGCAGGTCCTGCTGACTGCGCCCGCTATGCCTCCAGCCAAGAGATGTCTCCACCATTTACCCGTTTGTAGTTCACTCTGTGTGAAGTCATCGGGAACGTTCATATCCTCGCCGATGTCTAGATACTGAAATAAATAAATAAAAATCCGTTAGAATCAGCCACAAATTAAACTTAATTTAATATCTTGCATTTCGTCACTAGTTTACACATATCATTTCACATTTTTTTAAGTATGTGGATAAGTCTATTGTAAGAATGTATTATGGTTAAAGGTCAATTTAAAAATTGCATCAACATAAATAATAGTAAACAGGTATGAATAAATTTATATATTATAAACAATTATCTTGCAACGTCTTGTATCCGTCATACAATCTGCTTTTCAAATCAATTACAATCGACATCTTTCAATGGATATTACTCTTATTATAATTTGTAAGTTGTTGTGTATAAAAAGTCCTATTTTCTCGAACAGCGATCTAAATATGGAGTGGCGAGTCGACCCAATAACGGTGTCCTATTAACGTGTAATTTCATTAATAATAATTTATTGATACAATATTTATATATTATCTGGTTATGTCATATTGGTAGCACGTATTGGGACAGCATGGGTACGTACCAGCAATCCTTCCATTTTTGTGCTAAATAGCGTAATCAGAGATACTAAAGATATACCAGAGATACCTATGAAATTGTCAGTGTGCTCTCCGTGTGATGGTATATGGGGTCGAGAAATGTACGCTCACAAAGCAAGTTATTACCAAAATACAAGTCACGCAAAGGGCCATCGACGGGCTATGTTGGTCATTTCTCTACCGGACACGGTGTAAAATACCGAAATATACACAAGAACTGGTTTGACTGACATAGCCAAAGTGATTTCTCGGAGAAACTAGGATTGGGTCGGCGACATAATAATATGCCGTCGCGCGGACAATCGGTGAAGCAGAAAAGTACTGGAGTGGAAACCTCGTACTGGACGTCGTAACGTGGGCAGAAGACCTGGTCAAAGTAGCTGTAAGAGACTGGATGCGCAAGGTAAGAGACCGAAAAGAATGCGTATGCATATGATGAGACCTCACTCAGCATTGAGTGGGAGTAGGTTTAAGAAGAAAGAAGAAAGCGTAATCGTACATTCCAGTTTTAAGGATGCGACAGCTTTTGTACAATCTTATTGAGACCACGATGATCTCTTTTCTCAAGCGAAAGGAAATATTTTGTGATGTATATGAGCTTCCGTAGACATTTAATACCAGGTGGGTCGCGAAATTTAAAGCAATATTTATATTGTAATGTTAACTTACGAAATTATGTATGTGTGTAGCAAATAGCCAAAGACGTTTTTAAATTACGTTCTGATTAGTACTATGAACATATTTATATTGTGGTTGCGAATTATAGACGCATACGTCATGGAAGCGGATTTTATAAAGAAAAAATAAAAGTTTTCTAGTTAAAATATACGAATATATGGTTACTGGTACTACACTGTGTCGTTTAAATCATCCTCGTCCTGATCGTCTTTGTATAATTTCTTCCGATTCATTTTTTGTATCCATATTTTAGTTGTGAATTTAAATTGGTCCGCCTGTTAACATCATAATAATAAATTAAAAGTTTACTCTTCATTCTATATACTCTATAAACAAGTTATTCTTGACTTTCAGTTTACGAAAATCTCATTAGAAAGATACGTTACATCCCAGATCCAGTACGGACAAGACGTGGATATCCCAATTGCCTATTCTAAATTAGCCTCTTAAAATTCCTATACCTATTCGTTCGTATCAGCGTATATATCGTGCCAGCTATTCCAGCTATATCCGGAAAATTTGCTAACAAGAGTAGTGCTTCGCCCTAGCAAGAGCAGTGCTTCACTAAATCTACCACCGAAACGGAATCGCGAACCACTGAGAAGATCCGGCGAGAATCTCCATGGTATGTTTACTATAATAGGTTCGCTCGTCGAACTTTTTGTTGTAATCGAAGAGTTCGACGAGGACGGAGACCAGTATTTGAGGTTAGCCGGTAAGAAACGGATGAGACTCGAATACCGGGCTCACTGGTTTAAATTAGGAGAGGGCCATGCGTTACTACAGCGGACAGCTATGGATTAATGATAATATGATGACGATGCCACGAGACAATTTTTCCATTCCACGCTGCAGAATTTGACGAATTATTAAGATAACTAAGAAATATCTTTTAAAATCGATCGAATTATGATTTCAAGGAATAAACCACATCATAGTTATTTAGTTGAAATAATGACATTTAAGTCAACAAACTCATAAAGTGCAGCAATAATTAATAATGCGCGTTTGATAGTTAAATAAAGAACCTATAGAACTTAAGGATGTTCGAAATCAAAAAGTAGAATTGGCGTTTAATCATTTCTAAGGAGTATAAAAAAAATTATTAATGTTAATATATTATAATTTGGGTAAAATTTAAATATTCTGCACGAGACTTGGTGCTATCCGGAACAAACTCGATAAACTATGATTCAACTCATGACGTCAGCGTTAGCGATTGTACTTAAATGGGTTGAACGGAATAATCACGCGGAAGGCAATCTGCGAAAATGTCATGCATCGCGTCTGCTTTACATTTTGAATGTAATTTCTATTCAATATACAATACATAGTAAAAATCTAAACATTAAAATTGTTATTATTAATCGTAGCTGATAAGAATCTAAGAGACAAAAAGTACACTATGAATCAAAATGAAATTACCGTGGTGTATTTAAAATTGCTTGGCATCTTGTAGTCCCACCAGCCCATAATAGCGGTGGCGAAAGGAAAATAAACGTTCCAAAACAGCGTATTTTTCAGTAGACCCATGTAAACGAAAAATTTTACAAAAAATACCGAGGTTCTATACATTTTACATGTAAAATTTTAAGTTTACAGGGCTGAAAAATCGCATATCAATTTTGGTGGTTTTTACATTACACGTGACATAATGTGACAGATTTATTAACCTTACAAAGTGATTCATAGACACCAATAAGTTTGTGTCTCAACTCCTCGTTTCATAGTATGAATTATAGCTGATTTACATTTATTCGTACTTATCTACATTTTAGTTTAATGTTTAGTGACCCCCCGTATTCCAAGATGCGTACGTTACAATTTTGTTTAAGTATTATATCCGAATTAATAATTTTTATTAATTTTCATAAATCTCACAATTTGCATCCAAAGTTTGTAAAAAAAACTCATAGTTACGCTTTATACGACAGTCTTTTTTTGTTCTACCATTGATAATTATATTTATTTACATGTAGTATTAACGGATTTATTTAGATATACATAGATAACAAGGTCTGGCGACAAACACTGTCTACTTTTTAATATACAAACATTTGTGAAAGATCCTGTGATAATCAATATGTATGAAATTATGTTAACAATTTTGCTGACATTAAAACGCCAGGAATTGTAAGCGGTAATTTATTATGAATTGGCATATATTGCTCTTTCACCACGCCTCCACGCTCATCAACCATGTCAAGGCCACGGTACCGGACCTTAGCTATTTGACATTCCAAAGTTTGATATCGCGACGAGGTTTTTGATAAAAAAAGAGACTACTATTTATTTTTCCTCTACCGTATGCATATACGCTAACTAATTAGAAATTTACGTTTTGGGTTTGATAAAAATTTAAAGAGGTCTGACTAAAAACTAGTCATTATTTGTTATCATTGGTAAGAGATGACAATGTGTATGTGTGTGTATGGTGACGTTCAAAAACTTTACTTTTCATAATATAGTTGAATTCTTATGAAACCTTTTTTGTATTAGTATTTTGCTATTAATTTATTAATAATATACAAATAGACCCAACTCCATCTCATCATAAATAATTATAATTTTACTCGTAACACCCAATAATAGAGTCGAATTTTCACTATCATTTTGAAGACCTTAGGTATTATTCTAAGGCGGTTAATATCATCCGTGCTACAGATCACTTCGGTGCACAGTGGCGAAATTCACAATTCAATTAAGTCTGCAGTTTGGTGATATTAAATTGGTTAACCTAACCAATTTACTCAGGCCACCTCTCCCTTTATTTCAGACATAAATGAAATAATTATTCCACAATATGTCTATTCCGTATATTGTGGTCGATTTTTAACGACCATTAGTCAACGGTTATACTACGGAGCCAAATACCGTACGTTACTGTCAGTACTAATGTTGCTGTACAATACAATTGTGATTTCGTTGTCATGTTTCAAAGTGAGTGGCGGTATTTACGTTCTGACATCTATTGACTTCAGAAACCACTTAAAAAAGTGAGCCGTGAGCGCATCGTCAATATAAAGCATAAATTAAATACTATATTTACCACAAAATTGTAGAAATGAGGCGATCAGCGCAAAAGTGGCCTAACCCATAATTTTTTTATATTCCAGCTTATATGACGTAGGTACATTGGTATTTATTTAAAATATAATATGATGCAAAACCGGCCTATCCATAGTTTCACCCATAGATAACAGATAGCTTTGTAAACATTATTCTTGCGCGTATTGTTTTTTGCCTACTCAAATTAAAATTCATGAAAATTCAGACCTAATTGCCTCCATACTAAATTTTTTTTTTCGGCCTGGTGCCGAACCTCCTGCGAAGTCCACGCGCCTAGGGGGCGCGCAGGGTATGTGGGACTTGACGATCTGCAAGGTGTTGGGAGCAGACCCGGGCCCAAGGAAACCTCCATACTAACTATAGTTAGCTTTTTTTTTACAGGAGAAGATAGCCGGATCCCGTATGTGGGAGTTGAACCTCACCAAAAACTCATGCCGATCACAGCGGTAACTATGGTAAGCTTAGGCCATTTTTGCGCTGACTGTCACAAATATAAAGCAGCCATATTAAAACTAAAGTGACATCACAAATTCGTCAGTCAGCAAACAAAAAGCCGTACCCGTACGTAAATAGTCTCGCATGTTTCTACGTTCGCAACAAAAGTCTGAAGTCACATGTTTACGTAATTATTACGTAGCGTTCGAATATTCGAACACACAGATCGTGACACATTTATGAGCCGTTTTGACCGTGATCTGGCGAACGATGAACGGTCGCTAACACTTGCATGAATCTTTTT